GGGGGGGGGGGGGGGAGAGGCATGAAATCGAGATGATAGCGAGCATCAAGAAGGAGCAGAAGAAGAGGGAAGGAAACAAGATTGACAGGATCAAAGTGGAAAGAAGGAACAGTGAAGTAAAAGTTGAATAGCATCAAAAAAAAGTCCCCATTAATCTAGACCGTTCCTAGACCTCAGGAGGGTATGGACAGAGTCTGGCCACTCGATGTACATGGTCCTCTCCTCCGGCCATTCCCCTATATGCCTCCACCCACCGTACTGACTACAGCCTCCCCCCTAAGTAACGGGGGACTATACCCTTCCGCGGGGGGTTTGCCTAGCGTAGTGCTTCGGGAGAGCTTCAGCATATAAGAGTCCGACCGACAGTGGGGAGCAAGTAAAACCCGTTGCGACATCCTGGTGTGGGATGCCCCGGCCATAATACCGCTGGGCCACTGGGGGGGGGCTGGTTACAGTATTAGTCTTTATCTTCTTCAAATAGGAGCAAAACTTAAACGAGATGTCACTAGAGAATGTTAGAACGTCAGTTTGCATGCCTTCCCGGCGTGGTGATAGCTTCAAATTTGAAAGAATGAATCTAAATGGGTTTGGCCTGCTATCTGCTAAGTTTAAAAATAATCTGAACACTTGATGGTGGTGGTTGACAGCCACTTTCATAGCAGGGTACACATATATAAAGTCAAAAAATGAAGCTATTCCGACATACATTTTAGGAAGGAACGACCACGGGATGGATGCCCAATTCTCAAAGTCATGAGTTCGATTCCTGGCATCAGTGAACTAATTAATAGCTACACTTTCTTCATTCACTGGCCTTTTTCCACCAAAAAATGGCCCATTAATATTAATATCAAAATCCCATCTAATCCGCGCCGATCACTCGACACCGACCACGAAGAAGCAGATCCCACCCACCAAAAGAATAAGTATACTCACATGCCCTTCAGATACCCGAGGCACCCCAAGAGAAAGACCTAAACAATTTGATATCCACGAAAGCCCTCAGGCTTCATATCCACCCATCCCACCAACCTGGCGACCCATCGGAGTCTTCACCGACCCACTCCTCCGTCATTTTCGATTCAACCTCTCTCACAATGTGGGACCAGCAATGGATAATTTTACCGTTTTTGCGAGCGCGATCTGATCCAGTTGACGAGACCCTGTCTTGTTGAAACGGTTACGAGAAGCACCGCCCGAATTGTGCGTGAAATACCGGTATGTACTGATGCCTCTCTCACTCGCACATCCGGGGGCGTGATGCTTCATGAATTGCCAAAACCACGGCAGATACGGACAGGTGACGGTTATATTTGTGTCCACATTACTGGGAAGAAGGGGTCTTCATTGCACAAAATCGCTTCATGTTGCCGAAGTCGGGAATCGCACATAGATCTAGAGCTGTGGCCAGGCTAGATCGTGGGTGGTATCCAAGGCGACCAGGAAGGGAACTGGCGTTGCTAGATGGAGTACGACGGTCACAACAGTCCTGTTAGAATCGTCAACGGCTGGAGGAGTGCGTGTACAACATGGCGAAGGACTTACGCGCACCCAATGATGAAGACGACAAGGCGGTAGTACCTTTTTATTCCCAGCATCTGAAGTCCTACCACCAGCGGGATAGGGAGCAGCACGATCAATTCTAGATCTGTGACGATGTTCGTCACGGAAGTTACGATATACGAGCCCTCCTGGATGATGCATCTCCCCTCTGTGATGGCCAAATCCTAGGTCATCGCAACGGGGTTGCATGCGAGAATCGATGCAGATACGAGGGCAAGGCTATAGTCACAACTGTGGCCTAAGGGGCCCAACCGTTAAGTTCCAGTCACAGATACGATACGATGAGGGCATGTGCCACCCGCTTGTGGATCTTCACTATCGGTTCCTAGTCTGGCACAAGCTCCACATATCAATTTCGGATGTTTCTGTTGAAGGCGCCCTACTGCACCCGCGGTCCTTCTGCTTCGCATAATCATTCTTTCACCTGGATTGGGTAAGATCAACAACGTAGATTACCAAATATGCGCAAATTACCGCAGGGACTCAGGCGAAAACACGGGATGTTGATCCGCCGAATGGTTCTCCGATTTATGGTAACATGCGTCCAGTGGAAACACTATTGATATGGATTAAGGCGGACTTTTACACGGTAGACTCCTTCGTATATTGCATGTGTGAGGTTATATCGTTCAAACTCGACAGAATGATCTCGAACATCCCGTTGTCTCTCCAGTTCTATTTATGTTCACTTGGCCACAGCGCTGATCTTGAACCCACCGGGCACTTGGGTTTGGAAAATTCCGGTTTGGTCGTACTTCCTAGCAACGGCACGAATAAACTCAACATTCTCGGAGCCGTAGGTGGATAGAGGATTTTGGTTGCTGTTGGCGTAGTTCAGGTAAATGAATTCATTGTCGGCTCCGATTGATTTTGAGTACATGGTTATCTCCTCGAGAGCACTGTTGGCGAGTCGGTTAAACAGGGCATCATCGGCCTCATCCTTCCACGAATAGTCAAAGAGGACCTCTGCATAAAAGTGTTAGACGCTAGGAGCAAAACATGTTTGAGGGGGACTTGCGGAACAAGTTCTCGTCGAAACGGTCGAGGCCTAGCATGTTCCCACCTTGCTCAGTGCTGTGATCAGTGAACAGTTTGGACCAAGGCTGGATCATGGTAGACATAGTGTAGTCATCCCCCTTGGTATCTGCCTTGGCCTCCTCAATCATTTTGTTGTGAATATCGATAGTCCGCTTCATCACATCGAGGTTGTTCACAAATGAGGCAGTGACGAAAACGTCGCCGGAATAGGTCAGAGGTTTATCTCAGAGCGGAACAGTCAGCGACAATATACCGGTATCCAGATGCCTGACCCAGCTCCTGGGTCAGATTCCAAACGTTGGAAATACGCATCGAGCTGCTAGTATTTGCAATAGTGGTGAATTCGTCGAAAGCCGCGGGATATGCCACCGGAGTGGTATATTGCAGAGCATTAGCAACAAAATTTTGGTCGGTTACAGAAATATACCCCCACATACCTATCCAAGAAGCGTATGGGTCTTTTTCAAGGTTGTTGATGAACCTATGGCCAGCCTCAAGGTGCTGCAGGGTAGTGCTATTGTCATATGTGACGATCCCACCCCAAAGCTTGTCGTCTTCAATGATCTTCATATCATACTTGGTCACAATTCCGAAGTTGCCGGATCCACCCTTCAGCGCTTTGAAGAGATCCGCGTGGAAATCTTTGTTGACCTCAATGATCTTTCCATTAGCCAAAACAACCTCGTAGTTCACGACGTTGTCGCAACCAAATCCAACACGCGCAGTGTGGAAACTATTGCCGCCTGTAACAAAAGGCCTTGTCAGTCACATATTTATAGTTCAACATGTTTGATCGTATGTTACCGCCGAGCAAAAATCCAGCAACTCCAACAACACCAGAGCGGCCACCAGGCACTGTCACATTGTACTTCGCCAGAGTCTCGTAGACATCTCCCCAGCGAGATCCAGGAATAATGGACGCAGTGCCGGCTTCCTTGTTGTAAGTGGTAGTGTTCATCAATGACATATCAATCGTCACGCCATCAACGATATTGTTCGCTCCGGCCCAGGTGGTGTGGCCACCACCGCGAACAGCAAATTTGCAACCACCATCAGCGGCAACGAGCATGGAAACGGTGAGGGAAACCTCATCGGCCGTGCGTGGCTGCAATATACAGGTCGGCTCGAGCTGAACGTTCTCGGCCCAGTAAGAGCCGACCGAGGTCTTGTAAGCCGCGCTGTCGGGATAAACGACCTGGCTCTTCAGAATCGTGGCAGCCAGAGCTGAGAACTATTCGATTGATACTTAGTCAGCTATGTTCATTGTATTACTTGGAATAATTGAGAATAACAGACGCAAGTCTCGGATGCAGTCGCATGGGCAGCTTTCAGCAAGGCACTGATGCAAAGGGCTGCAACAGCGGGAGTAATATGCATGGTATAGCAATGTATGAAGGTTCACTCGGGCTTTCCGCTACTTCGGGCAGAAGTAATGTTCCTGGGGTATTTCTTACTATTATACTTCGAACAATTGAGCTGAATGCGAGCGGGGTTTCGATAGCAAGGCCTCACATTGTTGGATACTAGCTGATCAGCAGTGGAGTAGACCAAACGAACTCCACTACACGATACAGTAAATAATACACTAGAGGCTTTAGTGGACGTATACCAGCACGCACCGTCTTTTGGGCCCCATAGTGGGTGGGGACGGGCAATGTTTTAACAACTAATAAAAGTGGAGGTTGGCACCCAGACGGAGCAATTGGTTTATTTACACCATGTATAAACCAAGGAGCTGTGTAATTGACGCCAAAAAAGACTTGAGGGTTTTTTCAACCGGAAACAAACAGCGAAGAATATTTTGACGACTTTTATCACTGGAGCTCAAATTACCAATGTCTTCCGTGCGAGGTGGAGTTTCTCGAGGCTTGCGGAACGGAAGTGTAGATTACCTCATACATCAATAACCTACATCCAGCGCATGAGGGACTATACCGGACCAGTGAGAAACTTGTGTCCCTAGCAATCAAACCTGGAGTGATTGTCTTGTACAGGGTCAGCGTGGCTAGCATGATAACTTCAATCAAGGATATATAGGGCTCGTTCGACTACGAATTGTCACGTATGGAAATGAGAGAGAAAATGAACTTTCTGAATGAGGCCGCCGCTTTATACGTGCCTTCAGAAGCCAGCAGGCGTATGCACCGCGACGCCCAAGCGATGATCGGCTGTGTTACCTCACGACCCGGTGGATACGGTCTTCAAGGAAACAGGCACCTAGCCGATAGGGATACAGGAAGTGAAACAGCACCGACGGGAACTCTTCAAGGAGCACCATTGAAATACAATGAGCGAGCTAGCTAGCATGCCTAGTCCTAGGGTTTGCCAATATGTAGACATGAAATTCCCCCCCCAACAAGACGGAAGAGGCGAGTAGTCAAAGCATAAAAATTTCACGGATCGGCTCTTGTGCCAGATCTCACAAGGACATAGAAGATTGACCCAATCTTTACAAAATAACGTGCAATTGATACAATGATGACTCCACTGGCTCCTGCGAGGAGCACAACCGCTTCTTTGAGCTTCACGGTTGTCGATATTGTGGCACTGTACCCGAGCGCAATATCCTAGTAATCCGAGAAAGAGGTTCAATACTCGTTTGACAAGAGCATCCCACTTCAATGTCAGATTCCACGATTTTACTAGCTTCAAGTGTGGATTCATCAACCGAGATCTCTCTGACCGGTCTGATTTACCTTCTTGCTAGGCGAGTCAGAAGCCAGTCTATATCTATTTTTAGGAACGGGTGCACTTTTTGTGCGATGCCAAGGACTAAAAAGCACTTACAAGCATTTATCTGTCGACATCTTGGCGGCATGTCTTGACACGCCACACGGGTCTCTCTGAGTGTAAGCGATAATAGAAGGCCAATCACGGGTCTGTATCGGTAAGGCCAGGTACAAATTAGGCCTTTGAACAGATGAAATATGCAGTGACCCGCTCACTAAGCTAGAAGTGGAAATAAGGAGCCTTGCGAGTCATGTACAGGTGCACGAGTCCTATTTGTGTTGGGGAACCCACACTCCGACGGACCCCTTGATCGCCCACACAAACACGAAACTAGAGATCTAGAAGCAATAAGTTACAATCTCAAAAAGAAGAGAATTAGAAGGCAAAGCGATATTATGACTGTCAAGAAAAGGAAAGATGAACTGAGGGAGAGCTGAATGTTATCCAAAGCCGTCGCTGGTCAGCTGATCAACGGAGTCACCATACGCCGACGCTAGCTAGGTACCTGTACACAAGGTACCGTCCATGGTAATTTAGGCACCTAAGTAAGTATCCTCTCCCTTATGATATGGGCATTTACTTCTCGTTCGGGGAGTCACTTTGAGTTTACTCCTGAGCCTACTTCTGTACTCTCTCCTTCACATACATGGTCGCTTGCCAACCAGAATGTCTGCAAATGTTTCTACAGAGAACGATATCGCATTGGCCGAAATTAGTAATACAATGACACAAGAGGGGGTACAACAGACGGAGCGTACGAGCAAGTATGCTAAGTTCTCAAGTGTGATCTTGATCTCGATTGTACTGTGCTTGGCGACCTTGTGCGTAGCAGTGGACAATACGATAATTTCGACTGCTGTCCCTCGAATTACCCATGACTTCCGCAGCATTGACGATGTGGGTTGGTATGCATCGTAAGTACCACACTATCCCTCAATCCCGATGGGAGACGTTTGGAAAATATTAATCGATCCTTGAATAGAATTTATCCATTGACTTCGTGCGCATTCCAACCTTCCTACGGCAAAGTCTATACGCTCTTCTCCAGCAAAATCGTCTTCCTGGCAGCACTGCTGATATTTGAAATCGGAAGCGTTGTGTGTGCAACGGCACCGAATTCTCACGTTTTCATTCTTGGACGGGCATTAGCAGGCTTGGGTTCTGCTGGGATACAAGCAGGCACTACACTTATTCTCGCTGAGTGTGTTCCGCTACGTCAGCGACCGACATGGAACAGCATCATTGGTAGCATGTTTGCAGTTGGGAGCGTAGTTGGACCTCTACTGGTATTTATATATTCTTCGTCTATCGAGCTCATTCGTTACAGTAATTGACACTGGAACAGGGTGGAGCGTTCTCGGATTCAACTACCTGGCGTTGGTGTTTCTATATCAATCTCCCGATTGGAGGCGCTGTCATGATCTTCATCGCCTTGTTCTATGACGGTAGTCGCGGCGGTCAGAGAGCATTTGAGTCGACTGGATTTCGCAGCCAGATCGCGCGCTTCGACTTGGCTGGTACATTCACCTTTATGTCGGCAACAATTTGCCTTCTCTTGGCACTGTCATGGGGTGGGACAACATATGCATGGAATAATGCCTGCATCATAGCCCTACTAATGGTCGCTGGCGTACTATTTTGTTCTTTTATCACCATTGAATACCGGATGAAAGATAGCGCCATTATTCCTTTACGATTACTACGCAAGCCAAGCATAGTTGCAGCGATCCTTTTTGGCATCTGTCTTGGAGGCGTGTTCTTTGTATGTTATTCCAACGCAGACTTCACAATGCATCTCGCTGACCAAGGTACCATCACGATCCCAGGTGAATGTTTTCTACATACGTGAGTATCGAAACAAAATTGGGGAAATCAACATGAATACTGATCTAAATCTCAGCGCTATGGTTTCAATTAGTCAATGGTGTTTCCGCGGTCGAATCCGCAATCCTGTTCATCCCATTCATGCTGAGTGTCGTTGGCGGATTCATGTTCGCAGGCTTTGGGACCGCTGCAACGGGATATTACACACCTTTCGTCTACGCCGGCTCAATTCTCATGTCAATAGGTACTGGCCTTTTAATGACTGTCCAGCCCCAGCACACCTCGCGAGCCAAATGGGTAGGATTTCAGATCCTCTGCGGAGCCGGAATCGGCTTAGGAGAAGAGCAAGGACTGTATATGGTGCAAACAACACTTCTTGAAACTGATGTGGCAACTGGCATCGGCCTAGTCCTTTTTGCGCAGACGCTTGGCGGTGCCCTTTTTGTGTCAGTTGCGCAGGCAGTTTTCCTGCAAAACATTAGCAAGGCCCTGAAAACACTGGCCCCAAACCTGAGCCCCAAATCTGTTCTGAGTGGCGTAGCGCCAGGCTCTTCTCAAGAATTGCGGGCAGTCTATGGGTTGGCGATCAAAGAGGTGTTCCGTGTTGGGCTTATACTAGGAACGGTCTCGAGTCTAGGGGCCGTGCTGTATGACTGGAAAAGTCTGAAGACTAAGCACGATGACAGGAACGATCAGCATGTCAGTAGCCATGAACTCGAGCACGTGGCGGAAGTTCGAACAAAGGATAAATAAAATAAGGATCAATATGAAGACTATAAACATTTAAAAGGGACCACCTAGGCAACTATCTTACCTACTTCCAACCTTAGAAGGTTGGCGCAAACTCGGCCCGGTCCGTAGATTCCACCACCTGGGCCGGGCAATCCCGAACGGCAACCTTAGAAGAGATGCACGTTCTAAATCGGGAACAATTCATTTGAAAAATAGCTGCCTTGTCCAATCTCCAACTGTTCACACGCGCTGAAAAAATCTGTCTGTAACTGATATGCTGCGGGGCGAGTTTGAATATATAATCATAACATAAAATATCAATTTGGCATCCTATCATTTGTCTTCAACATCAACACCAGTTCCCATAACCTTTCCGAGACTTTTCTCCGCTGTCTCCCACTCTTTGTTAATGACATCCAGCACCCAGTCACCCCTAGGCCGAAGTTTAAATTTAATCTCCCTCGGCATTGTCATGAATCCTGCCACAACCATCGCCCATGGATCCACCTCTTCCCCATCAGCGGGCTCAATATCAAACGCCCACAGCAGACAAGCAACATGCATGAAAGATCCATCCGTAGCGACTTTCTTTCCTTGACAGATTCGGCGGCCCTGCCCAAAGACCGGCAACGGAAGATCCGTTCGCAGCCTTTCCTCCCCGTCAGCATCCCGCCGGAGCCACCGTTCAGGCACGAAGTCCTGAGTGTGTCCCAGGGCAGGGTCAAAGACCTTCTCATCTCGACCAATGGCCCACGCATTGGCCATGAGAGTGACGCCCTTTTTGATCTTGACACCGTTGAACTCGTCGTCCCGGTCCGCCCTGCGGGGAATGGATCCCGGTGAAATAGGCCGCCAACGGAAAAGTTCATGCATGATAGCGTCGATGTAAGCTAGCCCCGGGCGGTCCGAAAACTGGGGGAGGCGGTCGCGCCCGACAACCTGGTCGAGCAAGGCGTGCGCCCGCGCCATAAAGGACGGCTCGTGCAGCCCTGCAATGAACAACCACAGTAGCTGGCGCGGTGAAGTCTCCATACCTTCCTGGATGGATGTCGCGAGAGTAAAAGCGAGGTCGAGATCCGGAACGCCGTCTTCAGAGTACTTCTTCGCCGTAGCGATGGCTTGCTTGGTGGAGTTCCAGCCTGTTGAGTCCCTCCCGTGCCGGAAGAGGCGCATATAGAGGTCCACCTGTGTGGCATACAGCTTGTCGGCCGCTCACTTCCATGGTGACAAAAATGCCGGCAGGTGACGCAGCGGCGGAATAATATCTGGAAGACCGGGGTTCGCAGCGAGATGGGTTACTTGAGTCTGGATTTCAATGATCTCATGCAAGATAGGCTCTTCAAAGCTTGGGATGCGCAAGCCATAATGCAGAGCAAGTATTACACTCGACTGGGTGCGCTCAAGCAGTGGATAGATGGTTTCTGTGCTGATTCCTTGAGGGAACTGCCGTGCAGCATTTGTGAGGTCAAATAGTAGTTGTTTGGACTCAAGCTCCATTAAGGGGTGGTACTGTGGGGCGGCAAGAGCGCCGAGACTAGGCGCCAGGATGCGGTGGTGGAACTTGAGATGATCGTCATAGTCGTGCATCAGAGTAAACTTCGACTTTCCAGGCTCAGCCCGTGTGATCATCTCCATGCTGACAGATGGCGGGCGGTTGCTGTACCATTGGCTGCGGCGACTGAACAACTCAGTCACAGCCTCATATGAATTCAACACCACAATCGGTATGACCCCAAAGAGCTTCGGCACTGCAATGGGGCCATTTTCCTTCGTCCATGAGTCCCAGTTTAAAAGGGGTTTCTCAATGGAGGAGCTATGGATGTCGCCGATGAGGGGAAGCTTGAGGAGGGGTCTATTTTCTCCCTTCTTTTTTCCCGTGACAATGTAAAGCAGTGTCAATAGACCTAACACCACCGCGACTGCGACAGGAGTGATAGGCATACGGAGTATTGTTACGGAAATGCAGGGGCTGAGGGAACCACGTTTGACACATCAGATGCATTGCGGAGGAAAAGGGGATGCAGTTTTACATAGCGCGAAGGGATGCATGATTCAGGTATTGCGCCAAGCTCTATTATTTCTGTTCGGCCTTTTTACAATCGGGGTTGGAAGCCAAAAAAACGCTAAAAAGTGACTAAAAAGCGACGGATTAGAGACGAACTCATTATTCGTGCACAAGCGGCACTTGGTCCACCAATGAGTATTCTTCTAATGAGGATCCCAGGGAGACGTTGAACTGTCATATGCCGAAGGATACAATTGTGGTCTCATGAAATGTGATCGTAATACAATTGTTAATTTGGACAGGTCAGCTCTTTCAGCCTCCACCACTTTGATATGAACTAACAGTCTGCACAGAACTACTTCCTATGTGACTGGCTCTTTCTTACTATAATTTCTTTTTTAAAGGTTGTGAAGTATCTGATGCCGAAGTTCAAAGCTGAGCAACGGCTATTACCCCTGGGTTTTTGGCCCCCGAGCTAGCTTTGACGGTGCTAGCTGCAGGTTGGTTTCAAATTACCTACAACATATTTGATATCGTTCTCCAGATTTAATCTATTTAGCTTGGTTTTTTTCTACCCCTAGGAGAATGGGAGATGGTTGTTACATTTCCCATAGAGACGCCAGCCCAAAGGCAGGTCCTCGGTGTAGCCATCGCTTTCTCCATTCTAGCCGTGGTAGCAGTAAGTCTGCGACTGCTATCTCATCACCTTGCGAATAAAAAATTGATACTGAGTGATTATTTCATAATCGCCGCCGGTGTGAGTATTTGCCAAATCAAGCCAAATAAAATCAACTATACTAACTAATACAGATATTTGCTGTTGGCCTCCAATCTATTAGCATCACCGGCGTGATACAAGCAGGCATCGGTTATGATCATGTCACGACAATTACAGGGACATATGGAATGGGGCCTATCACCAAACTTCTTCAGCTGATTGTCCCATTGCAACTTCTCTGGGCTCTGAGTCTCAGCTGTACAAAAATATCCATCTTGTTCTTATATCTTAGCATATTCCCAGTTACTTGGGTCGTGCGGGTCTCTTGGATAACAATGGGTGTGATTATAGTCTGGACTATTGGGACCATACTGGCTGGGTGTCTGATCTGTAGGCCCTTCGCTTTTGATTGGGACCAGACTATTCCTGGGGGATCATGTGGAAACCAGGTTACCTCATTCACTGTGACAGGGGTTATAAATCTTCTTACCGACGTTGTTGTGCTGGTGACACCTATGCCGCTACTGTATAAGCTACAAATGGCCAGTTATAAAAAAGTGGCATTCATCACTATCTTCGGGCTGGGAGGAGTGTAAGAAATGCGCCACAACAAGGAAAACAAACGTGAGAGGGTCTTTGCTAACCTAGAATATAGCACTTGTATCATCAGCATTCTTCGGATCTCTATTCTGTCCACAATGGACTTCACCGACATTACCTACTCGATTCCCCGTGCCAACATCTTCAGCGGCCTAGAGCCCTGTCTCGCTGTTATCCTCGCTTCGGTCCCTATGATGCGCCCACTCCTTGGGCGCTCAGCATACACACCCGAGGTGACAGCTCGGCCTTCGAATAAATCTTCGTCCCACCCTGGAAGATCCAGATCTGCTGGCGAGGGCGAGTTCCAGCCGTTGCAGGATGACTCGAGCGAGCTGTGCTTGCGGCCAATTGGGCCAAAACATGAGGTTAGTGTCGCTGTTCAAAACCTCACAGAGGCGAGAGAGAGACACCGTAGAAGCGAAGATCTTCTTGAAGCTGGAGAGAGCAGGAATATAGATCAGACACAGAAAGAAGACTGGGCGATTTCGGTGAAGCAAGAATGGGCTGTGTACCATGGAGAGAAGTAATGTTGAGAACTCTTTCCCAGAACTCTACTATGTACTATATCTACTACATAAGAGTCTAAAAGAAATATGTTATACACCTTACAGGCCAGGCATCCATGTATGGTTCGCTCTTTCCAATCATTTGATCTATTGTTCTTTCCATTCGCATTGTTTGGTTGTTTATACTACATTGTCTCAAACCTCCATGGCTTTTCATTTCAAAACATCGCGCGTGAAAATATTTCTTCTGCTGAAAATTATCTTCTCTAAAAAACGCTTCTCAAGATCTCGTCAGTAATCTACAGAATGCTATTCAGATATCTCCTCGCGTTGGTGATCCAACTATGCTGGGCTGCTCTTGGGTTTGGCCACCAAGACGCGACAATTGTTTGTTTATCTCCCACAAAGCCAACAAGAGACCAAGGAACCTAACAACATACAGACGATCCCTTGGGTTACAGATGCACCTGATTACTTCCAAGGCTATGGTGGCAAGGTCATCGGTGCTGTATGTATTTCGTCTACTTCTCTTGTGATTCACTACTAACAACCAATGCAGAAAGATGCAACAACAACCTACGGAATCAACTGTCTCTCGGACCAAACAGCCTGCCACAGATTTACCCCGGATTTGACCGTTGTCTACGGACCCAGTAGTAAGAATATAGCAGCCCCACCACCCCCCCAGACAGAACGTTATACTGACTTGTAGATATAGCGTATGACATGATTGCCAATGGCTACAAATTCGACTTCACCTCAGGTTGCACGCTTATGGGCTCTCCGACGCCCACGGGCGCGTCTTGCACAGAAACCAAGTCTTTGCATGAAACTAGTACTATCACCTCGGCCACAGTGCTTGTTCCAGCCACAGGCGACGATTCCACCCTCGGAATTTTCCCTGCAACCTTGATCGTGACCGATACTGGAGACTTCTCCGCGCCCTCTACCGCGACTGATCTTGAAACTTCTGCCAATTCTCATGTTTCAACTAGTGGCGCAAGCTTGACTACGCCTGCGACCGCGACCGCGACCGCGACCGCTGATTCCATTGCCTCGGTCTCAGTTGGATTCCCAAATTCGACAGTCATGATACCTGGTGTTCCGACTTATTTCGGCAATGGAACTTCGAGGGCTGACAAGAATGGCACGACAGTGACGGTGACTGTTCTTGCTACCTCTATCCCGTGTCACTGTGAATGTGATTGCAGACAAAACCAGACTGCCAGGGCTACCGTCACCGTCCCAATGGTGATAAAAAACCACGGAATCAAGATTGCCGCGCCCGTGACATTGATGGGGGGAATCGTAGCTGGCGCTGTGTTCTGGATTTAAGCTCAGAGTTAGGAACTGGGAGCCGGATGGTTTATTTTGACTAAAATGGATTTTGCCATTTGGATATCGACCATTATCAAAGTTTGAAGGGATCGTGAGATAAGGGTGGATTTGGGAACAGAATACTCCTATGTTGTAGTTCAAATCTGAAAAATTAATTGATTTAAAATGATTACGGTACATGTGTTCTAGGAATAAATTCCGCGGTGCTTCAGAATAAAAATAGCACAATGCTTGGTAACGCATTGATAATATTCCTATGCTGATTAATTGTGGGCACTGTACATGCGTACTTCCGCTTACACGAGCATACCGGGATCGGGGACTATTAGTTCCGTCTGACGCGAGGTTGTGTTGCACTGTGATTGGCTGTAAGTGGCCAATTTACTCCGAGATATGGGGCCATGGAGATGGCGGCATGTAGAAAGCGATAGAAAAGGATTTTGAGATCTCGCGATTTATGGATTCGCAATCCACATTATGTATAAAACCCCCATCCCAGTTCACCTGTTGTTTCTCTTCCTTGGAATTGTTCTATATCACTTCACTCCACAAGTAATCAACCACCTGTCTCCCCTTAACACCTTCAAAATGGGCTCCATTCAACCCGAATTCAAGAACGCGGCTACTGCCTCTCTTTTGGAGTTGGTGAAGGCTCGCCGCACATTCTACGACCTCAAGGGCGAGAGCCCCGTCTCTGACGATGTTATTGAGCGTATTGTTCAGGACTCCGTTCTCCACGTTCCCAGCTCTTTCAACACCCAGACCTCCCGTGTTGTCCTCCTGCTCAAGGAGGAGCACAAGAAGGTGTGGGATATTGCCATTAACGCCTTGGAGGGTCTTGTCGCCGCTGGCCACGTCCCTAAGGAACAGTTCGAGACTGCCACCAAGCCCAAGCTGAACTCTTTCCGCGCTGCCTACGGAACCGTGCGTTTCCCCTCCCCGATATGACTTCAATTTGCGTCAAAATGGCGAATCATCGGCTTACCCGTTAATGCAGGTCCTTTTCTTTGTTGACTTTGAGTCGCTCGCTCCTATCAAGGAGAAGTTCGCTATCTACGCCGACAAGTTCGACCCCTTTGCCCTGGAGTCGAATGCTATGTCCCAGTACCTTGGTATGTGCTTTTCTTCGTCGGCCTTTGGTCAAAAAGAAACAATTTAAAACTAACTATCACCCAGTCTGGACTGCCCTTCAGTCCGAGGGCTTCGGTGCCAACCTTCAGCACTACAGCCCCCTCATCGATGAGCAGATTGCCAAGACTTGGAACATCCCCGCCTCATGGAAGTTGGATGCCCAGCTGGTCTTCGGTACTCCCAACTCCCAGCCCGGCGAGAAGGCCTTCGCTCCTATTGAGGACCGCTACAAGGTTTTCGGCAACTAAGCATATAAATACGCACGCATATTGATTTAGCATCATGAATGAAAGACCAATGACTTAGATTTTCAATTTGAAACACAATTGCGCAAATCCCAACATTAGTAGGCCGTACGTACTACATAGTACAAACCTACCTCAGCAAGGAGAGGTCATGCTTGGTATGACGTCGCATGCATGTAGGGTGATCCTGATCAACAAAGCTTAGTCGAACACCCAAGTTCGTGGAGTTTGAGACCCTGAAGATCAAATTCGAATCAAGAGAACCCTCAATGATCATCACAGGGTAATAGCGGTCTGATAATAACCGAATATTAGTACGATGCAAGGTCCCGTTCCCTTCGGCCTCGGAAATCGGATTCCGCCATGCCGTGTATCCGATTGGATGAAAATCTCGTAGGAAGAGATTGGGCATCAAATTATTGTGTCAATCACTGGCGATCTAGGAGCTGGCAACATTGATATGCATTGGATTCGCAATTCATTCTCTTGCAGGGAGCACGGACTAGCATTCCAGGCACAATCTCGCGAGTAGATCTACTGCTCTTTGTATGCATCTTGCAAACAATTGCTACGTTTCTGGTCCCTTTTTCTCTGCTTCCAAATAGAACTGAGGTGGGAGAGCGCGGGGGTCAATAGGGGAGTAACGAGCCCCAATCTTAGTGCCTGGGAATAGACATGGCTGTCCTTCGTGAAACACAAACTAGATGCACTATTTAAGAGTATACGCAAGCCTTCCGCAAGGGATTCAGGCGAGCACGTTGTAAATTGTTTGCAGGAGGTACGTTGTACGTTGTACGTAGTACGTAGACGTTAACTATACATCAACTACATTGTACTTTGTAGTAGAAAGTACAAAGTAGATAGATGCCTGACCTTATTTTTGTGGATAAAAATTCAAAACTCCACCAACTCCACTCCCATCTTATCACCAATTTAGCCGGTTTTTGCAATTCTCTAAATTTCTTTTTTTTTTTTTCCTTCTTCAACTCCCCATATTGCACTCAGAGGAACTTTGGAACTATCGTGTCTTCGTCAAATTGACTATGTCATTTGCACCGGACGCGGGTGTAGACCCCCGCGCCAACGGGCCTCAGGATCTAGATCTTACCCCTCCACAGGGTCAAGATGGAGACTCAGCGCCAGTATCTAGCCGGTCTTCAATGTCCTATACAAGGACATACTCAACACCAGCGACTGGAGCGCAAACCCCCGATCCACTGATGGGCACCAAAATCGTGGACAAAGTCGCCCTCCAAGACCTCTCTATCAATAATATCGGCCGTGATATCAACGAGAGCTATGCACTCGACACAACAAACACAATGAAAAACAGAAAAAACGCAGACCCAGTATCCCGTCCTCATCCCGACAGCGACGAAGAATCGGGATCCCCGATCCGCAGCAAGCAAGGCATCCCGCCCGAGCTCTCAAGCTTCACAGCCGAGCTCGTTCTAATTTGCGTCTGCTCAGCAGGCTTAATGCTCTTCTCATTTCTGCTAGGCGACATGCTCGCCCCACAAGAACAAATCAAAACAGCCCTCGGTATCACAAACACCGAACTCCCCTGGGTCGTCGGCGCCTTCAACACAGCCAACGGCCTATCGGTAATTATCTCCGGCTCGCTAACAGACCTAATGCCACCAAAACTGCTTATGGTCGGAGCCTTCGCCTGGCTCGCCGTATGGAACGTAATCGGCGCATTCACCCTCCACCCATCCCGCTACGTCCTGTTCTTCGTTATGCGCGCCATGCAGGGTCTCGCCATCGGCGTCCTCGTCTCAGGCAGCATGAGCATTCTCGGCCGCGTCTACACACCCGGTATTCGCAAGAACCGCGTGTTCTCAGCGATGGCCGCTACCGCCCCATTCGGATTCTCCCTCGGTGCAATCCAAGGTGGAGCCTTATACCAGCACCTCCCGTGGATCTTCGGCTCAAACGCCATTATCTGCGCGCTTCTGTGTGCGGCTGCTTGGTTCGCTATTCCACCCCTCCGACCCATCGCAGATGTCTCCGGTAAGGAAGCACCGTCAATCAAGCAATTCGACTATATCGGCGGCTTCTGCGCGGCCGGCGGTTGCGTGTGTCTTCTATTCGGGCTAACGCAGGGCCCTGTCGCATCTTGGTCCCCGTATACGTACGTTTTGATCATCGTGAGCTTCGTGCTCTTCATCGGGCTCTTCTTCGCGGAGCGCAACGCTGTTCGCCCTCTCATTCCGAACCGCCTCTGGCGCACACCAGGTTTCACACCGTTGATGATTGCGTACTTCCTCGGCTTTGGGTCTTTCTTCGGTTGCTGGCAGTTCTACGCCATTCAGTTCTGGCTGCGTATCCAACACGCCAGCCCCATTGCTGTTGCACTGTATCATATCCCCAACGCGCTAGTCGGTGTCCTGGCGACAGTGATCGTTGCTCGCACTCTGCACCTCGTCCCCGGTCACTATATTTACACGGTATCTATGCTAGCCTTCACGCTTGGGCCGGCGTTTTTCCTACCACAGACTGCCAATACCTCTTACTGGGCACTTTCATTCCCTGGTATTTCGCTGGTAACATTCGGGCCTGACCTTGCTTTTGCAGCTGCTTCGATCTTCATTACTAGCAATGTTGAACGGTCCTATCAGGGGAGCGCGGGCGCTCTCTTGGTTACGAACCAGAATCTTTCGTCGGCTATTATGACTAGTGTTGCTGACGCTATTGGGACTCGTGTCGATAGAGGCCCATCTGGGGAAATTGGCCTTGATGGGCTACATGCTATTTGGTGGTTTGCTCTTGCGGCACAGTTACTTGCTGCGTTGGTCACGATTGTTTGGGTCAGAATTCCCAAGGAGGAGGAGAAGGAGCACGTTACTTGATTTGGATATTGCTACACATGTAGATTGGCTAATTAGAGATAGATGTCTTGGATCACGCCTTAGATATTCCCCCCATTTGATATACAATTATTCTGTTTTTAGTCCTAACAACATAGCGCATATATAATTTTACAGCGACCAGCATCGCTTCATCATACTACTACAGCCCAATCGTATCCCAATATGTATAGTTACTAGACGGGTGTCTCCTCGGTATCATCTTTATTATCCATTATATTTCATACTTAGGGTATTCCTTTTCGTTCTATATTTTGTTAGTTTTAAGCAATAATCTGAGGAAATCGTTTCTGGTGACGTTGTGAAAGAGAAAGCAAAGACAGAATTGTCGGTTAGCCACTCATCCCTCAGAAATATAAATCAGAACAATTAAGCCCAAGCCCATAAATGCAAGGAAAGAGAAGGTGCCGTCAAAGTATGCCGTCCCAATGAAATTTCAAAATAAAAACAACGAAGTACGCGCGTATCAAAGAATAATGAAAAATATATGTATAGAAACGATACAATGAAAGAGTTATCAAGCATCCATAACTAGCCTATGCTCACTAGTACTGTTTTTCAGAGGCACCTCCTCCATAACGCTCATTTCGGTGGTAACCTCGATACCGCCTAGTGAACTGTGGCTGGAGTGATCACCAGGCCTAACATTGCTCGAATAAATATCATAGTCCTTGTCGTGGTTCTGACTAAACAGCTGAGTATGACGTGTTATAGTCTGAGTTCCAGTGAGGTTCATCACCGTGGGTTTGTTGGCTGCATAGCGGTTGGAGCTCCCTGCGGAGAGAAGCCGAGGGAAAATACGGCCGATGATGGGTCGCAAGAATGGGAGACAAGAGCACGTGATGGCGACATTGCATTCTGCGGCAGTCCAGTAGGCGGCTGCGACATTGCTGTCTATTTAGTGGGTTAGCTTTTGGATATTTTACAAGAAGTGTCGGAACTTTTTGCTACTTCACGTAGACTAGACAAGCGGAGAATGCTGGTGACCACAACCAAGATACCCATACCAAAGACGCCGATTAGGGCAATCTTCTGCGTACGGGGCAGCTGTAGTTTGGATAGTAACGGCATAGGCAACAATAGTAGTGCTATATCGGTTGTAATATTCATTGAAGCATTGAAGAACCAGAGAGCCTCGAAGTTGAGACAGTTGCCTGGCAAGTCCTTGTTCCAAAATTTGGCCACAGGGACACAGTTCACGAAGCCGCTCACAATAGCCCACGAAGAGTAAGTGGCCACGATTGCCATTGTGGCATAACAGGCGAGGCGGAAAGGTTTGCCGGGAAAGATGCGCAGATATTGGAAGAGAATGGAGAATTTGGTGAATGCCAAGCTGGCATTGTACATGGGAATCGCAGCCCACAAACACTAACAAGTCAGGCCAATGTACACCAACAAAGAAAATAAGTAAAAAGAAAGTCTACCTTCAGTTGTTGCTGCAAAACATGACTGGAAAGAAGTTCTGAGTGGACGCCAATCTTATAATGTAGTTCTATATCCTTATTAGTGGGGATGTTCTTAAGCTCGCTGATCTATCGTGAACTTACGGGCAGCGACGAGTGCGAGGTAGATAATGGAAAACATCTGCACATATTTTCTATTAGCGAGCTGCTTGTTTAGCACTGGGTGTGACTCTTCGAAGGGCATACCAAAGAGATCAGAATAGCCCAATCTTCACGACCGGTGATTTTCATCAGCCCAAGTCGCGCATAGAACCGCATTGCGACAATGAAAGTTGAAATGGCGGTTAGTACTGCAGTGACGACCAATGCTTGTCGGCCATGAGAGGCGCCATTATCATCTTCTCGAGGAAGTAAGGTGTGAATTAAACCGTACATATTGAATATTGAATTCAACGACCAGATGTAACGGGAGTTGTTGTAAAATGAGCGTGTAGGCAATGTGTAAATCTTCCAATCGACAATGCCCAGTTTAGCGGTAGCACAATGGCCTAGAATCGATGCAGTTCACTGCATTGAACTTAGAGTCGAGAGTGCCAGGGAAGTGAGTCCGATATCAAAATAGAAAGTAATCGCTTCCGGAGACGGGGAGCGAAGACACATTCATTTTAGCATGATATCAATGTCAATCGTTGTCTTGACAAGCTGTGGACAAACGTTCCACGCATGGCACGACCCAATTTGGATAGTCGGTTCAGAAGAACCCTCCACACATTTCGAATAGTCTTCTCAATAGCGCCGCACCAACCGGCGATCCCATATTCCCGTCAAGGTTGATGGGAAGCCTTGGCTCGCAAAGGCGATCGCTCCGGTATACGCCATGTGGTGTAGGGGCGTGCACCCTGTAGACAAAACTTCTATGGAAGCCTTTAGCGCGGGAATCTGGTCACCGAATCTCCACCATGGGCAGCACATATGGATCCCCGCGGAACAATGTCGTGAGGGGCTGACACAACGGGGTAAAGATTGACATCTGGTGGCCAAGTCGTTTATGGGACACCCTAGCTATCTTTTCAAGTTTCCTCCTTGGGTATGGAAGTTGAGAACGGGCCTCTGCCTCCGTCCTTGGGACCCACTGCAGTGGGAAGTATACGGTGGTTTCACTGGCTGCATATGTCTTTTTCCTGCAGATAATTAGTGCAGAGTGGAGCCGCAGTGGTGTATTGTCGTCATTCTATTAATATTGATGTTGCATGGATGACCCCGGGGCCAGCTCTTGCGGTGATGGCCGTTTGGTGATGAAGTGTTGGATGCCTATGCACCGTTGATACATAGTCTGCAAATCTTAACACTGCCACGGTAGAAGATATGTGTTGGAAACAATTCATCATAAAAGGTAGACAATGAGCCAAGGACCTCAACGGAAAGGGAAGGAAGGAAGGAAGTGGTAGGATGGACGGAGTGATTGCTCGCATCATTTCCTAATCGGGCTGAGGTAGGTACCCCCCTTATTGATCCTTCATTTTGATCTCCACGACTATCAAATCCTGTTAGTGTGGTACTCTGTACTCTGTACTGGGGTATTATTTGTTAGAGTTACATTCCTTTGCCACCAGAGATCAATACGCCATCAAATATGAGTGTCTTCCTTTTCAGGGTGCTGAGTTGTGAAACAACGCAATGATCGTCACAGTTCAATAATGAAGTGGATGGCCTCCACACAAAAGAGCCATGGAATGAGGCCGCGCGCGGAGTTTTCCATAGCTCTGCATGGTGTCACTGGCCACAGAGGATTATTACGCTGTCCACAGCAGCATCGTCACTTGCATAATGGTTGCCTCGGAATAGCTTGAAGCGACAAGCTGATCAACAGAGACAGACTAATTTGTAGTTGAGTGCAGACCTGGAGTTTATCTTGGAGCGAGTACGATATATGGCGCTGCTAGCATGCAATCTGAAAACCAACTTTTCCATGTATTACCTTTGATTTAAGAATGAAAAAAAAATCCAAAGTTGGCTAACTGAGATCTACCTTGTGGATTAATTGCATCACAATCACTTCCAATCCCGAGGCCGAAAATCCCAGAGATCTGGGGAATCATTTGATGAAAAGTGGCACCATCTCTAGGTCATGTATGTCACGCACAATAGAGTGTTTCGCATGGTGGGACACTTGAAGCATATCGATTGCAAGCACTACATACCCTCAAAATCTACAATCCCGACAACTCAACAATAACCTCACCTTTCTCCCCAAGCGGCCCCTTCACACTTGTTCCCAACTCCCCACTGAGCTCGCAAATCCTTCGCCTTACCCACACATGATCCGCATCTTTAGAATCCAACAAAACAGCCCTAAACCGTTCAACCCGTGTAGGGAAGATCTCCAATCTCTCCAGCCCAAGCCCGCCACCACTCTTCTCCCGAACAACAACCCTCCACAAAGCCCCAAGATCATTCCTATACTCCTCATTCAAGGCATAATCATCCACAGAGTCCCCACAACCGTAGATAACAAGCTTCCCATGATAAACCTCCACACCCTGAACATGATGCGATGAGTGGCCATGGACAATATCCACGCCACACTCATCGATCAAGAAATGCGCAAGAGACGTAATCCGTCCATCCGGCTGCCAGGAATAATTCGGCCCCCAGTGAACCGAAAAGATTTTCAACGCCGGCTTAGTTTCCTCGGCATCAACAAGCATTTCACGCAGCCGAGCGCGCGTGTCGCGGGTGTAATCAAACAGATTGAATCCCGGAACGCTGGCCCACACACGCGGGTGATCAGAAGCTGAGTATACATGTACCGTGTAGCGGTGTTGCTTGCTTTCGTCTATGACCTCTGAAGCCCTGGGTAAATGTAGCACAGCAGGCTTGCGTGCATCATCGGCTGTTTCACCCGCACCTGCGTAGGCGACATTCGCCCGTTGCAGTGTTTGCACGGTCTCTGTCAGACCCTCGGTGTCGAAGTCGAGGGTGTGGTTGTTGGCGAGACTGGCGTAGTCGATGCCACCGGCGTGCAGAATGGGGCCTAGGTTTGCTGGGTGCATGCGGTAGTTGAATACCTTGTTGGGCCACGGGATCGGGGCTGTTGTTACGGCGGTTTCGAGGTTGATGCATGCCAGGGTAGAAGAGTGAAGGAGGGGGAGGGTTGTGCCCCATGGTGAAGAAGGCGTGTAGTTTCCTTTGGAGAGGAGGGTTGGATGGGCTTTTATGAATGTTGTGGCGATGCGTTCGTCGTGTTGGTTGGTGACATGCTCTGGCATCAGTTGGTCGAGCAGGCGGCCGAGCATTACATCGCCTGTGAAGGTAAGAGTGAAGTCTTTTAGGGTGGCCATTGTAGAGGGTGGTCAATTTGAAAAAAAGTGGAATTAGTAGTCTAGAGCTGATTTGGTCTATTTTCAATTAGGTTGGTCGAGGTGAGATTTAGGATTTGGAGGTTGTAAGTCATTATGACATCGATCCTCATCAAATACAAACTAAGGTACATCTTCCGATGGGAATCAAGGAGCACGTTAATGTAAATAGATAGCGATTGCACATTATAAAATACATTTCATTTGACACACTTTTTTTTAAAGAATAATAATAGCACAGCCAGGGACAAGAAATCCCAGTAACGTGAGTGGTATCTTTGTGCGCCGTTTATCTCACGAGAAACACCGAGTTGAAAACATTATCCGAATATCATTATTTTCGTCACTGCTTGGGCAGACGTCGAGTCTATCGCCGCATCTCCGCCAGCTCGCGCTCCTTTGCTCTGAGCATCTCGCGCATCTGCTCAGCTTCACGTTCAAGTCGGGCACGACGATCAACTGAGTCCCCAAGAGATGCAAGGCCAGGCAAAGGCTGTGGCGGGTGGGGCGAAGGGGAGATAGAGTGGTGAATAGGAGGTGGCCGTCCCAGATTAGTGTCCGGGCGATGCTCGCCTCGAACTTCCGATTGGTTCAGAATGGACGAGATGGAGCTGAGACGACCGGGGGGAGTAGGATTGGCCGAAGACATAATTGGAGGTAATTGATTTGATCCTGCTTCCAATGTAGACGGGGTCGGTAGAGCCTCTGTCGCAGTCTCGGCCAATGTTCGTTTCTTAGGAAGGTTGAGGGGATTTGGAGAGGCGGACCGTCGCCCATACTGATTCACGGGCGAATGTCCCAGCCGGTCCACTCCTAATGGTTTAGGTAAGCCGTGGGAGATGGAGAGACCATGTGCAAGGGGCACAGATGAAACATTGTAACCGGTGAAATCAACCGGCGGTGGCGCAAAAGGCAAGGCCCGAGGTGCGTCTTCAGTTTTTCCAGGCATCATGTGGTAGTGATCTGCAGGCTCGCTGCTCATGTATCGATAATGATCGTCATGACCATGCGCTAGGGTAGCAGGTGATGCCTCCGGGGATGCCGAGGAACCATTGGAAGAAAGGGTAGCAGCGGTAGGAGACTGATCTCGTAGGGCGGGAACAACGCGTTTGCGACGTTTAATGATGGACTTTTTCATGTTGGTGGGGCGATAGCATCCGTGGAGCTTATAGTACAATCCTACGTTGTGTTAGAGAAACAAGATCATTAAATCTGTACAAAGACCAAACTTACCACAAGCGTTGCAAATGGGGTGGCCCTGTTCATCGCGCCGCCACAGAGGAGTCACGGTTGTGCCGCAATTTTGACAAGCAACCAAGGTATTAGGGCCATCGGCGGGAGCAGGGATCTTCGCCGGTGGCTCCTCTTGTGTCGCAGGCTCAAGCTCTTGTGCTGGATGACGGCCCCACGAAGATTGGATAGCAGCCGCTCCTCGGGGCGCCGACTTGTAGATCCGGTTGTTGTATGCCGGGCATCCATCACATCCTTCTGCACCACCAGTACCATTGCAACTCCCACCACCGGGGCATGACCCCTTGCAGCCACCACCTTCCGAGGAACCACCACAGTGAGAGCTTGCAGGAGGCGGTGGCTTCTCAGTACCCTCCGATTGCATGCGATTCCGTTTCGTGGGGCGAGCGACATTGCGAGCTTTGAGATAGAGACCGCAGGCGTTACAGATCATCGCTCCCGTGGGAGAACGACGCCAGAGAGGAGTGCTTTTTGTACCGCAATTGCTAAAGAAAAGATGAGGTCAGCCGTTTTTAACTTTGGTAACGATCGAGGCCACCCAGTCGAGACTCACCTGCAGGAATGCCCCAGGAACGTTATGTCCTTTTGGCTGCCTGGAGACGTTTTATTACTCGTGATTTCATTGTGCCCAATCCATTGATTTGATTCTGGTTGACCAGATCCTTGCACCATGCCATCCTCCCGGTAGTGATCTGCTAGATGTTCCCGACCTGCCTGCGCAGAGGAGATCAACTGCTGCGCAGCATCTAAATCTTCCGCTGACGGTTGTCGCATTGGAACTTCTTGGTTTCGAGGGAGAGAGTGAAGCGCTTCCATTTGTGGGATAGACGCTAACATTACAATCCGTGATTCGGGCCAGGAATCCTTCGGCCGTGGTAATTCGTCGAACGGGAGGATTGAAGATGAATGAAACGACAGAAGCGAAAGGGAGAGTGAAAATCCTAAGATGTGAGGGCGATGTCACACCACAGTTGAAAGCAGAATGCACCGTATTACTCAAAAACCAAATGTCGGTCAAGCTGACGGGTTAGAGAAATATGGGAAAGTCAGTCGAGCAGGAAGATATGCAGCCACGATGCTGCAGGCTCGGGGGAATCGTAGGGCGGAGGATGACTGGGGATCACAGTCGAAAAGAAGTGAATTCGGATGCCGCCACAAAAGAATCAGGAAATTAAGTATCGAGTAGATTGAAGGAGTCGACCCGCCACCAAAGATAGTAACCGGCTTGTATGGAACAGTGGCGACCCAACGGCGTGGAAGAGTCAGGTGATGCTGATTGCGACAATTGACAGCACACCACAGAATCTGGTCTGACTAGCAGGCGATCGTGGGGGACGGTTTCGTTCGGGGACGAGGGCCCGATGCAAAAGAACGATTCTCTAGGCAGGGATTGGCTGAGAGGCTAGGGAGCTGCAAGATGGTGATCACTCCGCGTTAGGACTGGGCAAAGTGGGCACACAGGATGTGATAGAGGCGATAAGGGGGGGGCAGCTATTGGAGAATGCAGGGTGGGAAGAGATATCAAGAATAAGTGGGAAGACTGAAAGGAGGGAAAGATGAAAAGGAGAGAAATGAGACAAAGAGGCAAGACCAAATTGCTTATCGCGCAAAAAGGGATTGGGGTTTATCGATCTAAGTGGAAGGGGGGATCGACGGCGTATCAATCTATCACTTTATCTGTTCCGTTTGCCGAGGATCGCATCAATCTCATCTAATCGCCCTTTCTCTCTGTCTTTTACTTTAGTTTTCTACAATTCAATCAGATTCAACAAGAAATCTCTGGCGATTCTTCATGATTCTATGTCCCCCATGATCGCCTATGAACTCCACCTATGGCCTGATGAAGTTAGTTGGAAAGTGAAAAAAACCGTGGAAAAGGTGGAAATGTGGAAAACGAAGGAAAAGAGTGGGAAGAGTGGGAACTTGCACCTTGACAAAGTGAGGTTAGAGTGGGGCAATGGTAGGAAATCAAATATATAATAGAGGTGATTGGTTGAAAGTGTATGACTAATCCTGTCATCAACTCTTTGGATGTTCCGATTGGTTCCTCGGAGATAAAGTGAGCCGAAGCGATATGGCCACGCTGTACTTTTGGGACTAGGTATGTTGCAAGTTGGATGTGCTCCGTGCTCCGGGCTCCGTATTCGTACTACCATTGTACTGAAACAAAAGTACATACGATATACTATATTTATTGCGGGTACTAATATGTATAGTTATTGGGTGGTACGTAGTACATACTACGGAGCATGTACTACAAGAAGGAGGTCTCGGCAGCTAAGCAACCCCTGCACTAGTGGCTTTATCAGATGATCTCTCACCGGATACTGCAATAAGCAAGAAATCAATAAATCATTAGAGCATGTCAATGCTACTAGACAATGCTAGCCCACCACGTCCCAAATATAGTACAGGTGTCTCTCTGTCCCTTTACGCTGGTATCAACAAAGATCTTGGAGACCCAGCAGAATCGCCCATTCTCCTCTTCAAATCACCCTCTTTATAATGACATCCCTCACCAATCAAATTCAGACTCAAAGGGCATCCCAAGGTCATTGCGTTCATCGAAAATCGCATACCGCATGCTGAAGGAGACTGCCTAGATAGACAGTATCCCATCACTGTGCCAACGCGACAGCAAATTGTCATCACTACCTGCGCAGGCAGCAATTTAGACTTGCTCGGCACCCCAGCCCTGGTCAGTTTCGCGCATGTTCGAAGGGGGCTCGATAGAGGGGATGAACTCGAGGGCGACGTATCCGAGACCGATGAAGGCGATCAGCGAACCATCAATGATGCGCAGCACGTGGTCGTGCAGCAGAATGGAACCGATAAAGATGTAGACTGTCGACGGGAGTGATTAGCAATCAAATTCCCTCTGATCTAGGGCATGAAAAGTATAACTTACAGACACCACGGCCCAGGAAAGAGAAGAGGAACGACGCATAACGGTACGCGTAGTCCGGAACGTGAGGGAGGAACTCCAGTCCGCCGACGACTAGGACAATGTTAGCACTGACTATTGACATTGTGAGTTCGCATTATGATAGGGACCTACCGAGACCGAAAACAACTGCATATGCACCAAGGATGAATGAACTCCAAGTTCCGGTGAAGAAGTTACTGATACCACCGAGCACCATAAACACGCCCACGGCGATGTTGACAAGACGGCTGCATTGGATCAGTACTGGCACAAATGTATCCACAAAGAGCCAACATACAAGATGTTTGTGAAATCCATTGCGAAGCTTCGTTGGGGGTTTATGAGATGGAAGTGATTTTCAAAGTCTTCTGCTCGCGAATCAATAATGCGGAAGGCGAGTCCCTAGGCTGCAAGGTTTAAGGAGGAGTTGGTGTCAAGTGACTAAGTTGAGTCTTCAGTGGTCCACGGGTACTGAGTTAGCTTATTAAACAAGTATCGATGCTGCCTGGTCTCGCCAATCGCCCAAGTGATGATGGAAGTTGGGTTCGCCGGAGTTCCCCAGGCCAGACCTCAGTGTGCTGGTTCTATGACAATGGGAAACACACCTTTGAGATGAGACAGCGGATCCGAAGGGAGCTACAATGAGCTGCACACGTTCGATCAAAAAGCTTTTCGGTGTTTGAATGAAGTAGAACGGGGGGAAGTGGAAATGAGGGCGTCGACAGCTGCTGCGCTGTCGCAAGCAGCGGGTCTGCCAAGCCCACCGGCAAATCACGTGATCTACCGCAGGCCAATGCGGACGCCATGCTGTATACGGTATAGTGTTTCCTTGGCATAGGGCTACAGGTCTTCACTGAGCTATGATTAATCGCTCGAATATTATATGTAAATTTATAATAAACACTAAGTCGACGTCCTTCAAGCTGGAGCATAGTTTCAGCAATTCCAGTATTACAGCGGATATCCAACGATATAATTATCGGCAGAAAGAGAGAGACGACAGAAAGTTGAACCCCTACGAAAACTACACCATAGTTATGTGTGTATGTGTCTTCTATGTACTATATGTAATACGGTTGATGAAAGGGATGATTTCTTTACATGGCAAAAGCTCAGGAATAGCATACAAAGAGACTTTGGAATAAAACTCAAAATCCGACTCTGTGTCGAGCCGTTCAACACCTCTTAAGGTAGTGTGCTTTCTGCCTCTGCCCTCTGAATTACACATATAGTAGTTATGCCTGAGAGTACCTGTTTTGCACCTTATGTCCCTGGCAGTTGTCATAGATACAATTTCTTTGGTGGTGAGTTACTATCTATATCGAAGACCGAATATGATAGCTTGAATCTGTGATTTATATCTCTCAAAAGCTCACTTCCCTTGATTATCTCCGCCAATAATAGACCAAGCATAAAATGGCCGACTATGGCTAGGTATTTATCCCAAGAAAATACGAAAGTTAAAATTCATAGTTCAGGTTGTTTGATTGCTCGCTAATGCCTACATCTGATCACTTCTCTGTATAGGATGGACTTGATAGATGATATAGCAACTCAGAACTGAGTCAGATTTCATGGAATTGAATTACATAGATTATTGAACTGATTGAAGACAAGTTTTTCAAAGATAATGAAAATGGGTAGTATGAAGATTCAAGGCAAAAGCAAATCGAGCCTGAAAAAGCAATGGGATCCATTCATCCAATAAAAGGACCCAAATCCCATATTAAACACACAAATACAGCTGCATACTTAGATACAACTCGTTGAAATACTATGCCCATTCAATTACAAGGAATTGTTGTGTGCACCATGTTATCATCGGGTCCCCATGAATCCTCTTCGAAGGACCCAGAAAATGCAACGCATGTCAAGCTGCCCCACAGAAAATCATTCAGCTGGTGCAACTTGCGCTCCTGGTGGAGAATCCTACCCAGTGCATCAGTATTGGCCCAATCAGTTGTGTTGATCGTCAATAAATCATGCAGATAACGTGCATGTATCATCCCTCCATGCATGGCGATGTACAAACTAGGCAAATATACAGAGAAGAACTGGTTGAATCCCGGACTAGGTTACGAATATTTCAAGCGACCAACACTACTTATATTGCGACCAGCTCATTGCTGACGGTACTACTTCGTTTAAATACATTTCATAAAGCCTTAGTGCAAATGCACATGCTTCAATCTCTGTCTTGACTCCACCTTCCCCCTTACATCTTCACCTTGGACTTGGCTTTTGAAACACCTGCGTTCCCCCACCAAAGAATTATTGTTTATCATTACGAGGGACGTGACGGGGAAAACAATTTCGAACTACGGTGTGATTCTTAATTTGTCATCTCCGAATCATCATGGAGATTATCACATTAAGGAAACCATGGCTTTTCGACCTGCGCTCATCCAAACAACTGATCGGCCTTGCTGTCTTCTCGACCACCTTTACTGATGGATTCCTTTACGGGATCGTAGGTGCTTCTCCTCTTAGCTGTCGAATGACAGTACTGACCCCGCGGGCTCTCTTCTAGATCGTGTCCGTGCTTCCTTTCTCTCTAACAGTTCGGTCCGGAGTGCCAGAAGCTGATGTCCCATTCTGGACATCAATGTCTTTGGCTGTCTTCGGTCTCGCAATGGTACTTGGTGCCCCAATAGCAGGTTTGATTGTTGGGAAATGTGAGAGGCGCCAAATACCATTCTTAGGACTTTCTTGTGCATTTGGTGCCACACTTTTGTTCATGCTTGGAGTCGAGCCATGGGTGATTATCGTGGCAAGGATTTTCCAGGGTCTGTCCGCGGGAGTCGTCTACACTGCCGGCTTAACGCTGTTGGTGGACACGATCGAGTCGCACGAGCTGGGACCCTGGATTGGCTTCGGACTCTCGGGCATGAATTTTGGGGTACTCGTATCACCCACTCTCGGAGGAATTGTATATGAAAAAGTAGGGTTCTATCCTGTCTTCATCATGGGTCTTGGCGTGGTGCTCGTCAACTTGGTCCTCATTCTGCTCATGATCGACAGAAAGACTGCTGCAAAGTATAGAGGGCAAGGCGATCCAACTAAGTGTTCTTCCCTTCCGAATGGAAACTCAACGAAAAGTGCCATTGCTAATGGCAAACGGCGACTATCAACTGTTGAAGATGGCGATCCAACTATCACAACACCGCTTCTCTCACGCTGCCGTGAGACATCTCCGGCTGCAAAAGATCCTTCTTGGTGGACTATTGTCGGAGGCTTTCTTCAAAATCATCGCATATGTGCTGCGTTATATGGAAGCCTCATCAACACTATCTTGGTGAGCGCCATGGATGCCGTCCTCCCGATTTTCATCAAACAGACCTTCCACTGGTTTTCCGGTGCTACGGGGGCCATGTTTCTGAACTTAGCCATCCCATCATTGATAGGTCCATTTGTTGGGTTGGTCTCAGACAAATACGGCGTCCGATTGATCTCCGGTCTCGGGTTTACGTTGGCAGCTGTAGCAGTTGCTTCCCTCGCTCTGATACAACACAATGATGCTATAAACAAGGTCATGGCGTGTGTATTATTGTCTTTTGTTGGTAAGATCCGATCCAAGCTCTACGAACGTTGAACTCATCCACAGCTTTGCTCACAGTAAACAGGAATAGGACTTAATATATCGCTGACCCCATTGGTTGCGGAGATACCTCGCATTGTGAATACCATTCAAGATGAACAACCCGATATATATGGCGATAAGAGTGCCGTCACGGAGGCCTATATGCTCCTTGATGCGGCATTTGGCGCTGGCACTGTCCTCGGCCCATTGCTTTCAGAGCTTGCGTTCGAAAATTTGGGATGGACTGGATGCACCGCCATGCTGGGGTTTCTGAGTGTGTCGGCCATAGTTCCAGTGGTAAGTGGATGTTTCTTTTTTCAATTAATGTTGAAAGTCGCAGCTGACTTCAAAAGATGGTTCATTTGGCTCCAAATCCGAAACGCCGGTAAATCATTCCTCGTCAATACATGTTTATTGTTTGAAGCTACCTAGTCGTGGCATTGTAGATGATTTGGAGAAAGTATATCAAAGCAAAGTTGCCTCGCTTGATTGCGAGCTCCGGGCAAATATATTTGAGTGAGGAGAGATCATTATCCTGAGCCAAGGGCTGGGATACTCGTACATGAGGGCGAAGACAGATAATTCTCTCATTCTTTCTAAGATGCATTGGCAATATGCCCTTCGTTTATCACCACCCACACACGAAGATAGTATACATTTTCAAAGTTCCTCAATTACTCCCTGCCTTTTTTCCAGTCGAACCTCAGAGAGACCATTGGCGAACTGACTCATGCGCATCGGGTCCTGCTTTAGCGTGTTGTATATTTCATCCAAATCAGTTCCAATCCCGATCTCATCTGCGATCTTCATGTGCCGTGAATCAAGACAAGGAGCAATACTTGGCCATACGCTTTGAACATTGTTGAAAAATACCTCTACTGCGACGTCACCCATCCCCCGGACCTCCTTCATCAATATTCTAGCTTTGTGGATTTTGCCATCTGCCAGCTTGAGGAGATTGTTCAAGTCCCCATCTGTTTTCATTCAACATCAGAGTCCGCTTCCATATACAGTATAACATCGCAGATCCAAGTCCGTAGATAGAACCGGGGGCGTACCGTATCTCTCAACAACCAGCTTTGCGAGCTCACCGAGATTGGTAGCACACTGTTCTCGAAACCGATTGTAACCCCCTTCTTGCAAAACCACTGTGCGATCTTGCCACGTGCTCTTAGAAAGTACGTCGATCTCATGGTAGTCGGCCTCGATTAGCTTTCTGAGCGTTTTCTGCGTCAATTCGTGAGAGATGGGCCGTGCTTTGATCACGGCGTCCAAAACCATTGCCAACACTATCTCAGGGCTGGCATTTAGTGAATTTGGGTCGGCAAGCACTGTGCCATGTAGAGGAGATCTACCGAACTCATTCAGGACCTTATTGATTTTCTGGGCTGCTTCTTTGGGCTTATGTCCTGACATCGTGGAACAATGATCAAATGATTGTGGATGGAGTTGAATAATTATCCTGCTGAGCCTCAAACCGAGTGCCCAAACAATTGTCAATTGATGTCACAATGGCATATATAGGCCGACCAAACATTGCACTATGTACATGCCAAGGCTGAAATATCAAAATTCTACTATATACAACAATTGATCTGTGTAATGCGGTTCTTCACAGCTTCGCGCGGGATTTGTTTTGCAGGACCTCCTTGACCAAAGAGACAGCGTCATATGCACAGCCGAAGGAGGCCTGATAGCCAAATCCTCCATGGCCGTAGTTGTGAACGATTGCCACACCGTCAACCTTGTCTTTTTCAATGCGAGTGCCACCCTCTCGCAGTGGTCGAAGCCCAACGCCATGGCGAATGATATCCAACCCCTCAATTCCCTGTCCCTTCTTGACAAGACTGGGGCATATATCGATGCAACGCTTCATGATGCGATTGGCAAGGTTCATATCCGGGATTCCATTCCAGTTGTGCTTTTGATAAGAGCCACCGAGAATCGTGCCACCACCTAGAAGCAATAAGCCAACTGTCTAAAAATAAAATTAGCATATAAAATCTTACCTGCGGCACGAGTCATCATGTACAACGCCTCATCTTCTCCGTCGTCAGTGCCGGATGTCGACATCATGGGACCGGGGTCGTTGCGGACCACGACGATCTGGCCACGGGCAGGATACATCTTGTCATCGAGAACACCGCCGAGGGTCTTAGATGATAGGCCGGTGCAGTTGATCACCACGTCAGCTTTCTGTCCGGTGTGGTGGGCGTTGGCCGCATCGGCGATATGCTTGAAGACAGCTCGTTTGAAGATGGCGCCGTTCTTGACGCACTGACCGACCAACCACGGCAGGTAGACAGCAGTGTTGATGCAAACAGATGTGAACTCCTGGCCATTGTCCACTCCGGGGGCTAATTGATCAGAGGGGATGCTTTTGAACTAGAATCATCACAATCATCATGTTAGTTTTGGGACAGTTTGTGGCACCGTCTCACGGTTAAAGCATACATCAAGCACGACATCTTTATACCAGGGGTTTGGCTGAGTCAGTTCTGAGAACCACTTTCCGGTGTCTGTTTCTTGATCCTTCTTTCGGTTGTAGATCAAGGTGCCTAGATTTTGTTAGAGGGTCGGATGCTGACCAAGTTCTGGGGAGAGATCATACCTCGGAAGTGGATACCGGCCTCCGGGTACTTCTCTGCGATTTCTTTTAATGCTGGCCAGGTATCGCGCTCCCACTTGTGATGAGCACTTCCCTCCTTTCCCACCCTATAGAATATCCACTTCATCAGAACTTGATCGAGGAGCCGGTTTCAGTCAGTCATACGGCATATAGTTGGCACCGGCCCATGGCGACGCATATTCAATATCGTAATCCCCAGGCATATGCTTTGCCAGCACAGTAATCTTGTTGGTGGGGTCTCGTGACAGCAGATATGCGGTTGTCAAACCAGACACACCAGCACTGTTACAAACGTTAGTGGATGTTTGGAGCCGAGTTCCTGCAGGGGTGAAGCTAGAGAAACTTAGAGCTCGGGGGAACTTACCCCAGAACTACAATGTTATTCATCATAATGAACACTTTTGACCTCCTGCAAGTTCCAAATAAAAATAATAAGGCACGATTGACACAAAAGGGGATTGCTATCCTTAAATGTGTGAGCTTCAGGGCTGGGACGAGCGGGGTGAGGGGACAATCAGCTATCTCGCTCATTTCGCCGATAAGGGTCTGGTAAAGGTCTGGTAAGGTTGATAAGGGTCTGATTACCTCACTCTGGATTTGGCCTATTACGGGAAGACTAGCGCGGCGGTGTAATATTTCATCCAATAATATGCTATCAAGAAATACACAAACGCGCTAGAGACTCACAGTGGATACATGGGTGGATATTCCGTACACGGTCAAAGATTTAAATTACACCTCCGCACTTATGCGGAGGTGATGCGTACTCCTGGTCAAAGCATTAGAAGCATTTTATTTTCAGATATATAAAGCTTTCGAGATATACCTCAATGTTTTTGTTCTTAAAATCTCTTAGACCCTTGATTCAGCCTTCGATTATTCATTGATTTCACTTAGACCACCAGCAAGGAGCTCCGTAAAGTCCCGCTCCATCTCTCCGGACTCCACTCTGAATTGAACGTTAGATCACATTTGATCTCTCCTGGGCCCTTCCATTGCCTCAATTTACCCTCCCTTTTCTCGTAGATCACTCTTCTTTAAGATATTTCTCGAGTGAAGAAACTAAGCAGAAGCTTTATTCTACTAAATATAGAATTGAATACCTTGAGATCTTTTTATACAAAGAAAATCGGCGATGTCATAGTGGGCAAACGCCCAGGCTGTGGCCAATCACCTAGCACCAGAGCTCACCGCCTCGTTCCGGCAGTCAAATGAGCATCGGAGGGCCGAAGAATTTCCTTTTTCAAACCACCCGCAGGGCCCGAATTCACTCTGCGGGCTCCTTTTGTTTGCCATTCTTAGATCAATAACCTCAATTTCTCTATTTTCTCTATTTTCCCTACTTCTCTATCCATCTATTTGTTTGCCCATTGGTCTACACTCCCATAAATGCCTACTCTTATTCGAGTCTTCCCTTCAATATGTCTCTCCTCACTAATGGTGGCAGAATCGTGCCCATACTTACGGGCTCTGATTCTCACGATCCCACCCCCGAAATGCCTGCGTTATTAGACGCATCTCCTCCTCCAATTCCTCTTTCTTCAATCTCTCCTCCACCGACCATACCCCGCCTGTTGCAGGACCAGCAGGCTTGCAAACAAGCCAAGGCCATCCACCACGCGAGCTTGGAGATGGCCTCTCTCCAAGAGAGAGGCCTTTATGCACTCCCCACCGAGGGAGACGGTAAGCCAATTACACCTACTGCATGATTTAGGAGCTCCATAGTGGTCTTCGGAAGCTGCATCGCGTTGTTTTACCTATTCTGACGCGTCCAATGTTAGGTAATTGTCTTTATTACTCCCTCTCCGACCAACTGTATGGCGACACCCACCATGCAGACGAAATTCGCCAGCTTCTAGCCAATCACATGGCTTCCAATAAAGATTACTTCATGCAATTTGTCGTTGCTGAAGGTGGGGAGCGCCGTCGCCCTAAACGTGCGGCCGCATCTGCGTATGCTACTCGCTCTGCCGATGTCTCCGCTCCGTCCCAGCAGGATATGGAACGACGGTTCCAGGAAATGATTGCTACCACCCGTAAGAACGGAGAATGGGGTAGCTCCGAGCATCTCCAGGCATTCTGTCAGGCCTTCAAGGTCGACTTGAATGTATACACTATGGATGGTGTTTCAGTGTTCCAGGATGTCAACGCGCACCCCACTCAACCTCGGGATGTTTTGCACGTAGCCTTCCATGTAAGTGTTTTGATGCCATGCATATCATCCAGCCCCACTAACGACTACAGGACTTCAAACACTACTCTTCCGTGCGGGTTATTGAGGGCAAGCATGAAGGACTTCTTACCAAACTGAAGCTTTCCCAGCCTACTGAGGAGGGACTTAACCCCGAAGTCATTCTAGACTCCAAATCCGACATTAATGGCGAAAAATTCACTTTACCGGAAGCAAAAGCCGGTGGTGGTTATACGACTAACGATGCTGGCCTTGCCGTTGACCTGTATCCCCCTTGGGATATCAAATCCATCCAAGAAGGATTAGGTGGCCGATATGACCGGGAGACCATTGTGGATATGCTCCAGAGATGTCGTGGCGACATTGACCGCGCCTTTGCCGCGCTATTGGACGAGAAGACCGACATCCCATCTGATAAGAAAGCTGCTCCTGGAATTCCTATCAAACCAAGCTTGCAGGCCTCGCGATCTTCTTCTCCATTTAGTACGGGTAGCAAGCGGTCCGCGGAAGATAGCGACGATTCTGAAGATCCTCGTCCCGCACGACGCACCCGACCTAAGAAACGTCTCGTCTCCAATCTTACCTTGGGTGTTGGCATCTCATTCAGGGATGAACACGATGAGGTTGTCTCCTTGAATCTTCGAGTGAGTTCTTCAACTAAAGTTTCCTTCAGATGGGATATCTGCTAACTTTTCATCTAATAGATGAACTCCGACGCAGAAGATGGTCAGGCCACAGACCCCCCTCTCCCGGGTAACACTACCCCGGAAACATCGGACATGGACGGAAAGAAATGTCGTCGTAGTAGACGACTTTCCCGGCCACGTCCACACTGATTTGTTTTTTACTTGCTCCAGTCTCCGGCTAGACCTTTGAGCATCTTTAGCGCTTTCTCTTGCATTGAAAAAAAGGCGTTAGTGATGAAGCGATTGGTTTCTTACTTGGGTTTGCATATTGCATCGCCCTGCGGGGCTCGCGGCCTACGGGCTTGCGGAAGGAGGCGTTTTGTCTGATTATGAACTCACATGAGGACTTTGCCTGGGGCAGTCCTCAATGACCTTGTTTACAAAGATACCAGGGTATATTTCTCCCAATGTTTTGTAGTCCTTAGCTTTAGCTCTTTTTTGGCTCTTCTTTTCCAGTCTGGGCCTTGGCCCATGATCCAACATTGGTGGCGAGCTGGAGTCACAGCTCTGTCTAGTGGCTTGGATTTTAATACAGCCATCTAATGTCACCCACTTTTTGGCTGAACTCTTGTCAGTCCTACTTATTCCGTAGTCTCCTCCGAACAGACGTAGAGTTTATACTTTGAGTGGTTGTGATCCATCTAAAAGCAAGAACTTACTTCTTGTTCCCAAATAGCACGTTATTGAGTATCGCTATGTAGGCATTGAGGGGCCATCGGTATCTAATGACATGTCAAAGCAATCCGTCTTATATACATGTAGATCTATTTGATTCTCGTTTAAAATAGCACTAACCAATGCTCGCCATAATCTAAAGAGAGCCAGGCAAAAGCTCAACCAAATCTAATGCAGTTCGCTTGTGTCGCATGAGGGTTTGTTTCTTGCTTTCAATCCTCCAGTAGGAACTTCAGGAACGCCATCCCAATGGCGACACCATCATGTTCATTATTAGCTCTGCTCAAAGCATCCTGAGCTTGGTCCCCCTTGAAAACACCACTGTCGGCCCGACTCTGGATAATCTCCGTGATAATGTCCCCGGTGAATTCAGGATGGCCCTGTAGGGTGATAAAGCGGCGCGGCGCATACATACCCTGCACAGCACAGCGCGGGGATGAGCCGAGAGGAACCACGTTCGGGGGGTAATTAAAGACAATATCCTGGTGCATTTGCTGGATGCGCTATTTGCGGTGAAAGAAAATAGGTCAGCTGTCTGCATATCGAGTGTACTCGGGTGCATGGGTTATGCAGCCTTTTGTCAAACAGGGCGCAGGCGCGGGGGAACTCACGATCTTATCCCGACCAAACAACTCCTTTCCCTTATCGGTCAAATCCACATCACAAACGGCAATCTCCCAACCTTGGTCGCTTCGTCCGACCTTGGTGTTTAATGCACGGCCAACGATTTGGTGTCCGAAGCAGATTCCGAGTAGGCGGACCCGATCCTGTGCGAGTACTTGTTGAGTGAATTCGACGAGGCGGTTGATCCAGGGGATGTCTTCGAAGGAGTTGTGTCCTGATTTAGGGTCAGTGTCATTAGTATGCATTCAATACTTTGAGTCTACCAAGTCAACACGCACTTGATCCTGTTAGAAGCACGGCATCTACATCTTCCAGCTTCGGGTATTTGTCATCATTGACTATATCCCAAGCCGTTATTTCCAGACCCGTTTCTGGATCGAGTTTCTCAGGCTGGTCCAAGGCATTCGCGCTAGCTTTGAGGAGCACGCGGAATACCCCGCCATATCCATTATAGCGGCGGTTGATATTTTCAAGCGGGGTGTCGCATTCTAACACGGCGATGCGGAGTGGGGAATGCATTCTGCGGGAATATGTGAGGCAGGCAATGTACAGTTGTAAACCAAAGATAAATAGCAATTGAAAAGAGTTGCCCACTTGGGCAGGTCTTCTGAAGCGCTGGAGTTCATACAATATTCCCTATCTTATCGGACCCCGAAGTCGGACCCTGCTGACAAACTACGCTATTCCTGATACGTCAAACATCTATGGACTTTTGCTGGACTGCAGCTTTTTTTATTCCTCGGCAATTGATGTTGTGCTGCATCAAATACGGATCTTGCAGCGCTAGTGTCGATATAAAAATCCTATTTCCCTAGGCTCGGGGTTTTCTTTCTTTCTTTCTTCTGTGTCACCACCGCTTTAAAAGCCCATGAGTCATTGTTGATCGCGTTTGCTGTACTTATATTGCGTGCTGGCAGAATCTTCGTCCCCATGAAATAATTTATTTTCATACATTTGTTTTTTATTTTTTTAAAAAAACAATGCCCATTATTGACGACAACGAGGGGCAACCAGTTAATCTTTGCCCCTCCGAGGCCACCCCACTCCTGCGCAATAATTCTGTTCATCAGAAGACGAGTTACCGCGATGTCTCATATTCCGCGACAGATGTTGAGTCAGCATGTTCATCCAAAGATATAGAAGAAGAAGCCCACATTCGCTGTCTATCCAATGAAAACTCTGCATCCAAAGGAGTCGATGTTGGGAAGGCTTCTAGGGCAGGCTCCCCCAATCCAGAGCCGAGAATCCCAACTCAAGATGAAAAAGATTACGCCGCGAGGTTCATTGATATCTCTCCAGCAAGGTTCTGGGTCATCTTTGGCGGCATCCTGATGGGCTATATGATTGGCTTCTTTGACTCGACCCTCATGGCCTCCAGCCATCCAGTCATCACTTCCTACTTCAATGCAGCCAACTCAGCCTCCTGGCTATCAACAGCCTTCTTGTTGACCTCGACCGCATTTATGCCTCTCTTTGGACGCATTTCCGATGCATTTGGCCGGAAACCTGTCTATCTCTTCTCTATCGCCATGTTCTTCTTCACGACGGCAGGCTGTGGTTTGGCGCAAAGTATCGGCGGTTTTATTGCTGCTCGTGCGCTTTGTGGGCTTGGTGCAGGTGGTGTCTTTTCCATCGGCCTGATTATCTCGAGTGACTTGGTACATCTCGAGTATCGCGGCGTCTACCAATCATACATCAACCTGTGTCTCGGCATCGGTGGTAGCCTCGGCCTTGCCTTTGGGGGTTACCTGTGTGATCATATCGGCTGGCGGGGCGCGTTTCTCATCCAACTGCCTTTCATCTTCGTTTACTTCATCGCAGCCGCTTGGACAGTCCCGGCAGACCTTGGCATTAAACAAACTGGAATGGAGCGCATGAAAGTCTGGCAGTTAGTCCGGAGTATTGATATATTGGGATCAATTATCTTGATTACGTGTGTGACTATGTTGATCGTGGGTTTGAACTTTGGAGGGAATGTCTATCCTTGGGGCCATCCGCTCATTGTCACTTCCCTGGTGTCATCGTTAGTCCTAGCAGTTATCTTGGTGCGATACGAGCTGCACGTCCCACGACCCGTGCTGCCAATTGAGCTTATGTCAGAGGATCCCCGGGCCAGTATTATTTTTGGCAATTTCTTTGCCTCCATGTCTTTACACACCATGCTGTTCAACGCCCCGCTGTATTTTCAGGCCGTGAAGCTGGCTAGTCCAACTGATTCTGGTCTACGCCTTGTGGCTTCCTCCATAGCTGTCACTGTCTCTAGTGTGAGCACCGGGTTCATGATTAACTGGACCAGACGTCTCCAGCCTTTTGTCATCATTGGCGTATGCTTCATGGTGATAGGTGGATTTGCAGCCGCATCCATGGGCGTTGAAACCTCTCAACCGCTCTCCATGGTCTGCATCTCATTTTCCAGTCTAGGTCAAGGCTTCGCATTTCCCAGCATGATGGTTGGCGTTCTCGCAACTAGTGAGAAACAAGATCAGGCCGTCGCAACAACCACTCTGGGATTGTGGAGAAGCCTGGGCGCTGTGATGGGTGTGGCTGTCAGCAGCTGGATCTTCCAGAATAGTCTCATATACCACCTTAACAACAAAGTCACTGGTGCTGAGAAGAATCATATCATTGCACTTGTCCGCAAATCCGTTGATACTATTGCTCACTTGGATCCAATCCATCGGCGAGAAGGTGTGTTCTATTTCTTTGAAGTGCCAACTCGCTTTGACCTTGCTAATAATAACTCAGTCACTACGTCATATTCTGCGGCTCTTCAACTGACTTTCTTATCTGCGGCCTTCTGGGGAGTCATTGTGTTAATATTGATGGGTCGAATCCGACTACCTCGATTGGGGAGAAAAGCCTAGACAGTGTCTCTGGGACAGTTCAATTTTTTGACAACGGAAAATATACGTTGGCTGTACGTTTCAGCCTGTTTTGGATGACCTATGTGATAGGTAATTTTGTACTTTACGTTCGTTGTATCTACTTGGGTTGATGTAAATAAATATGCATGCATTATATACTATACACCTCGTACTTACTCCTATACCGGCGATCTTGGCAAAGCGACCCACCTTTTTTTTCTCGACTTGATCTTTAACTTGACATCCATCCACTTCTCCGCAACATCGAGACGTCTGTGTGGCCAAGCAAGGGGCTAGTGAGTAAATTCATACGGTGCTTTCAATTTCGCATGATAACTCTCAGCTGACCCATTTTCGCGCCCCAGAATTATTCGCCGATCGTTCTTCCCTGCCCCTCCTGTGCCGCCGCGTTGGATTCAAAGCTACAATTGAACACCAATTCCAAAGACGGTCACAATAACTAGTCGGTCATAATTTTGAAACGAATCTTATCGCAAGCGTCAACAACGAACATGGCCATCTGGGTAGAATCTACAACGGCATCTTGTGTATTCGGACAACCTCTATCAGTTGGGACTCCAGTTGGCGCCGGGGATTAGGAATATAGTTGCGCTATAAAGCCGAGAGCTATTACAGCTCGCAATTTACGACCAACATGAACCTTCGAAAAGTAGCGAAGGCGCATCCGCAGTCGCCCGACATCAGCACGAGGACATCCACTCCAAAAAGCCAGGCAAGCGATTCGCAAAGCACACCCCGCCCCCGCTCCAGTCGCAAGAAATCCTCAGATGCACCAGATACCAAAGCAAGGAGGGTACGCACTGGCTGCCTCACTTGTCGCCAAAGACACTTGAAATGCGACGAAGCCGTTGGACGATGTCTCAATTGTCGCAAGTCAGATCGTATCTGTCGGCGTGGTGTTCGTCTTAATTTCATTGATACTCAAACTGTGGCGCCTCCACATATCATCGCTCGGCCCCCGGGGTCGAAGGTGACATTTCGAGATGACTCGCGATTGATCGCGTCTCTGTATGTGGGAGGATTCGAGATGTACCCGCCAGTCCAGCCAGAGAGCCCTGTACAAGAGAACCGACACTCACACCATAACTTTGACTTTATGGAGGATGATGATTTGACAAATCTCTTCCAATCGGTGGCGCATTCGTTTGACCCGCTGGGCTTTGATGTTCCACCTCCAAATGCGGCGGATTTCGTTGGAACTGATACTTGGCACCAGTCCCACTTGGTACCAGGAGATGAACTTCTTCCGCACGGAACGTCTCATTTCGCACGGAAACTGGCTGGGAAACATGAATATCATTCTTTTCTCACTGACCCAGAGCAAGTCTCTCTTCTCAGAACTTTCACGGAAGAAGTTGGTCCCCGGATGGATATAATGGATGAAATGAACCATGTGAGTAAAATTCCCCACAGTATAGTTTTTCGGTTTACTCACAAAGCGCAGTTTTCCCAGATTCTTCCAGGGTTTGCCATTGGCGAGCCTTTATTGCTAAATGCGTTTCTCGCGTGTGGTGCTCGATATCGTTCTTTTGTAGAACCATCTTATGGGGATGAAAAAGCGGCACATTATTATGAGGCGGCTACTCGGGATCTTCTGAATGCAATCCATGATCCTAACCGCGACTCTGTATTGTGTGCAACGGCAGCCCTTGCCCTCGCCTTTTCCGAGACCATGCCAAGCCAATCAAGACACACTGGAGATCACAGCGCAGGCTCCCGAGCTTTGATCCGAGAATGTGGCTGGACTGCCAAAACCCCCGGGCTCGGCGGAGCATGTTTCAGGATCAGTATCAGTGCAGAGCTCCTGAACTGTAGGAAATATAATTGGAGATTATCTTGGGATCCAAACAATTGGGGGATCAACATGGACATGGATCATTCACAGGCCATCAATGGGGGCAATCAAGATCTATGGCATCACCGGATACTTTATATTTTCGCGAAAGTTATGACTTTCCAAGCATCTTCGCGCCCATCTCACGCCCTAAATGATGATGCGGCACGAGCCATCCAGCTCAACGACCATGAATGGATTACTTACAATAGGTGGTGTGAGCAATGGGCAAAATCTATTCCTAGATCCCTTGTACCTCTTGGTCATTTGCAGCCGTGGCAAACAAATTCTAACTCGGCCTTTCCTGAAGTCTGGTATGTTCTCAATTACCTCGCATTCAACCCGTTCCCCAACTCATATTTCTAGGCTTGCCAACCGGTCTGCCATTGTTTCTCGATTATTCTACCACGCCAGTCGTATTCTACTGGCCAAAACACACCCTTTCCAGTCAGAGTTCGAAGAGGATATGCGGAAAATGAAGTGTAGCCATGCGCACGAAATCTGCGGCCTGGTTGCCCATACTACAGACCGGTTCGTACAAAATCATTATTGAAATCCCAGAAATTTCTGTGTCTAACCAGTAAATAGAGGCGTGGCTGGTATATCATTTTACTTTCTTGCACTTGCTGCAGAGTGCTTAGAAACTCGCGAAGCTCAAGAGGAGGTACTCGGCATCTTTGATACCATCACTAAAGTAACTGGGAGCAGTCCTGAACCTATCAAAAACGACCTCAAACAAATTTGGAGCTGGGCAGAGGCTCACCCGCACACGGTGACACCAGCCCAGATGCACAATCACTTCTATGAATTAGACCCATCTCTATCGATTTCCAACAACCAGTGCTCATCTTCAAGCCTACACAATCCCTTGTTGACTGCAGGTGACTTTTCCTTGGAGAACCATCCGTATCAAGGATACTATGTGCCACCACTTCACCACCATGCACTAAATCAGTATCACTATGGGACATTTGATATGATTTGATGCTTCGAAAACTTTGACGAATCATGAATTATTATTACCTAGCTTCACATCTACGGTGCTTATACCCTATGAATATCCCTATGAATATCCTTGGATTATTCTGAACTCTGGTCAATGCAGAACATTGCCGATTGTTTAAAATAGAGACTACCAAACTATTGCTTCATCCATTTCTTCTCATCTTCCCCATCATATCTCGCGTACCATATTGCCGCCCCCAAGGACTCATAGACATACATCCTTCTGCTTTTACTTTCAAGGGGTAGATGCGACTAAATCCGTAAGAAAACTGGGCCAGGGCTTTGTTCAGGTGTATTTGCCAACTGATTACCATACTTAGCTTGGGCATTGGATGCCCTCTAACGCCAATAGTGGAGATTTGGAACTCAGAAGAGTGGGTCAAGCCCCCGGTGAGCGATGGATCTCGGCCAATTTCAAGTTGGCCGTAGCTTGCCCTATCTGAGTCATTAAATTATAATACATAAATAATCAATGAGCCCTATACTTTGATGAAATATCCTCCCTGTCTTCAATTCCTGTAACATGGCATCCAACTATACCTACTCATTCTTCCGGGTCTGCAAGACAGATGGCATTGCCATCTCCGCTCAAAAATATCGAGACCTACGTTTGAAGGCGCTGAAGACTTCACCCGATTCCTTCTCATCTACATATGATATCGAAGCGGCCTTCGCCGATACCGACTGGATAGATCGTCTCACACTCCCCGATCGAGAACTCTTTATTTGTGCCGCGACACCAACCAGTCTTGATGCGTCATCTTCCAATGGCACCGAGTGGATCGGCCAGGTAACTCTGCGAGGGCCTTCATCTAGGGCTGATTTCGAGTTACCCGTGGAAGCTGGTCAACCACCACAGAAGTCCGACGAAGAGGAAGAGCGATGGCAAATGCTGAGCTTGTTTACCCTTCCTGAACATCGCGGACACGGACTTGGAGGCAAATTGTGCCAGGAAGCTATCAATCATCTCCGTTCATACCGATTATTTCCTCGTCAAATCCAAGTGCGGCTCATCGTTAAGGCGGGGAATCATGTCACAGTGGAATTGTACCGACGTCTTGGGTTTATGCACGCGGGGAAGGCGACTCTTGTTGAAGCTCTCATCGCAAATGGAGATGAGGGCCTTCTTCCGAAAGATCTGGGTTCGGCGAAATATTCGGATAGAAAAGGGCTGATTATGATATCTCGTATATCACGCTCATGAATTGTTTATAGTACCAGAATATGGTACCCATAATTTGGATTGTATGCTGAAAGTCAGCTGTTTGTGCCCGGATATCTCGTCACTAATTTAGTTCTCATTGGCCAGCCTTATTTTCCATGGAACCTTCCAACCTTCCATCTATAAACTTATTCAGTTTGTCACTTCTCTTTGCTTCATCAGTATGACATGCAGAATTGTAAGCCCCATTTAACGAGGAAGGCCTTGTGGGTCCTTCCACCAAAGCTGCATGAGCTGCGGGTTGCAACCTTTACCAAGAAAATGTTGAAAAAGCCATTTGGTTGATGGTTGGGTCGCGAGGTTATATCTCGTATGCAGCTATTCAATTAGCAAGGTACGCCCGCAACCCCGGGTTCCGACATCAACACGCCCTCAAACGTATGTTTCGCTACTCGCTGGGTACAATAGACTAATGCGCTTTGTTTAACTTGGTCTCATAGCTATAACTATAGTATCGGAGTCTTACAGTCTACCTTGTCTCTCTTTTGTGTAGTTCTACACACTACAAAATACAGCGTTGTGCCTTCATAATCTCATATACTAGCTCCTAGGTTCAAACATGGTGCCCATCTTTGATAAGTTGAAGATGGTAAGCAGGCGCTAACTTTGGTTCATTGAGTAGCCACTTCCTTGTGGCTCATGGCCTCAAAAGTTTGTTGTGCGCATTTCTTGCCACGGCGATCGATACCTCGTAGCTTATGACTTCATGTCATTCCAAGGTTGAGCTCGGCTCTTAGCTAATAATTTGAACTATCGATCATAACGACGTATGTTTGCCATGGACTGTGAGTTACATACTCCATACGTCAGAACAGTTGGACAATAAGTAGCATATCTAAGCTCTGACTTTGTGATGACTGGTCTGAACAACACATTTGCAACAATTTGTATATTTCAAAGACGCCTCTGTGTCTTCTTTAGTATATTTTGTTGAAACGTTACACACGAACTTAGATTACAACATGTCGAACCCTACCGAAAGAACCGCAGAAGATAATTATGAGAGAGAAAATGATCCTTCGCCTGTAACCGAAGACTTCACAGAAAACACCTATGTCAAAGAGCCAAAGTCCCACTTGAGAGGTCAAGTCCCCGTTCAACTAGATGAACAGTCATTTGAGGATCCAATGCAACCTCCTTATTCCAATTCTGATCAGCAGCTTGGTAAGTCTGAGTTCTCTTCCTTGGCTAATTCTAAAGTATCAAGCCACTAATATGACTGAAGAGGACGACGAACGCGAAGCGATCAATAAGTCTAATGTCATGAGGGGAGATCGTCTTCGTCATGCAAAGCCTAGAACCGCGAACAAGTACAATGAGGGACCAGGTGAAGATGATCTGCCGGCCGGACTTGAGTGATTTGCACCAGTTCTTTATCCATCAATTTTTACGGGACACCGAAACCGGATTATTTTACTCTGCAATAGAATAAACCCACAGAATGTCTGCCTGTTGAAACTAAATACAATCTCGATATCTTGTGTTCTATATGCTTTATAGATATGTAGATCTTAACGCTCGTAGTAAAGCCAAGAGATAATCTTCACACGCTCTTCTAGAGAGAAAGGCGTGATTCATAGAATAGTTAATTGTATCGGAAAGGCTATATCATAACACTTGTTAATGAAGGTCTCACCTTGATGGAGCAGGAAATAGATGTCAACAACACCATGTCAATATCATCTCGTCCCAACCGTCGGCTGCGGGCTATCTTCCATCGAGTAATGTTACTGATGTTCTCTTAGTTAATGGGAACTAGGCCGCAGGGCTCGGTATTGTTGCGTATTATTCACTAGAACTCGATTATCATTCAGCTATGCTCAACCACTGGATAAAACCTAAATTTATCGGGCGATATCGGTGGAAGGTGGATGAACATTCGACTATGACCTCAGGATCCAGTAAAGGGCAGGTTACTGGCGGTGTCAATTGACACGGGGGCGGTGGCACACGAGGGGGACCTCGTCCCCAAGTTCGAAGAATCGGTTGACGAGCGTTGTGATTATTGGTTGGTATGTTCTCCAGGGTCTTCACTATCCCACCCGGTCCCATTGGAAATCGCAGTCTCCAATATGTAGGCGGTATAATATTGCCTTCAGAAGCTACTAGTGCATATGCGGTCACATTCGACCATAACATTCGACTCTTGCGTATACTATGTAGAGGTAACACAGTAGAGTATTATTAGATCCACTATACCGGACGTAGCGATGATCCTTTACATAAAAGTCTGCTCTTTCTGTATCATTGAGTTCTAAGAAGTTTTATGATTTCAATTGTAGACTTTGCGTTTGCCGATCTTCCTTCATTCTAGTTATATATAGTACAGAATTCACTAATACTTCAACAATCCCTAATCAAACCCCTAGTTGCAATTCACAACCTCAACAGCAAAAACTTAATACTACTTGGAAAATTATGCTATCAACTTGGGCCAAAATAGCAAAGGGGAAAGATATCAAGCCTGGAAAGGTCTGTAGTATGTAGATTGTTAGTCGCCTCAGGCCATGATTTCAAGACTCGTTGGCCAGCGCGTTTTCTGCGTTTTCTGCCTATAATTTGGAATTGGAACCTTTTGACCTTTATTCTATCAGAGACAACCATGCAAATTCCATGCAAATTATAAAGATCTAAAAGTCGACAACAAGATTAGACCACGGCCATAGGTGAGGCTCAAGTGTGGCGGTGTAAGTAGGCAATTCCACAGGGACCTGCGGGCATGATAGAAGACATTGACAAGCAACAACCACAAGGCATTTAGGATGGAAACCAAGTCAGCTCAAGCTCAATCTCCAGCTGCCCCGATATACATCCTTCGTGGACATGCTTCTCCAATCCATGCCCTGCACATCTACAGCCAGAATTTACGGCTTGTATCCGGCGACGCCAATGGGTGGATTGTTGTTTGGGACCTGGTCACCAAACGCCCCGTGACGGCATGGAAGGCACACGAGGGAGCTATTTTGGAGGCGAGAGGCTTTAATGTTGGCTCAAATGCAACTGAGATTTACACGTATGATGATTCATTCACCCTTACCTAGCCTAGAGGCATTAACCATCTTACTAACATCTGCATTAGACATGGGCGCGACCACAAACTCTGTGTGTGGAAGCTTCGACTGGAAGATGAATCTTTTCTCGATAAAACACTTCCAGTGGATGCGACCGAGTCCGCACAGCCAGAAATTAGAACACAGCCGTGGTTACTTCATTCATTGCCCGTTAATGCCCTCAATTTCTGTGCATTCTCAATGGCATTTGTGAATTCAGATGGGCTTCCTGGGGTTCCATCCCAATATGGAAAACCAGAGAACACTCTTTTTGCAGTACCCAATGCTTTGGACTCTGGTGGGGTCGATATCTTCCACCTACCATCTGAGCGCAGGATCAGTACTATTCCTTCTGATCAATCGACCAAAACCGGAATGCTGATGGCTGTAAATCTCTTCGTCTCACCTTCTGGGGATATCTACGTCGCCTCTGCATATGAAGATGGCCATGTGATGGTCTTCGTTCATCGTGGGGCACTCAAATCGCCCAGCTTTGAGCGCGAGTACATAAGCAACAACCCGTTGAAATGGGACAAGCTTTATGCTGGACGCCCTCATTCCCAGCCGGCTCTTTCCTTAGATGTCGCCCCCTCCCATGGATACTTCATCTCTTCTTCTGCGGATGCTCTTGTCGTCAAGCATCCCATCCCCAGCATAGGATCTGCGGGTTATATCCCCACCGCTGGCTACAAAGAAGAATCTCCCTTGAAGATTGTCAACACAAAGCACTCGGGTCAGCAGGGTCTGCGTATCCGATCGGATGGGAAGGTATTTGCTACTGCTGGCTGGGACAGCAGGATCCGGGTATACTCAGGTAAAACTATGAAAGAGCTGGCTGTGCTGAAGTGGCACAAGGATGGTTGTTATTCTGTAGCGTTTGGGGACACTGAAAGCACATCCTCGTCGGTGTCTTCATCGCCCGAGTCTGCAAAACAAGAACCCCGAGATGCAGACCAGGGCGTCGTAGGGCATACGGCCGTCGAAGGACACAACTACTCACTTGCAACAGTGCAGCAACAACGGAATCAAAAAGTACAACAAACTCATTGGCTAGCGGCTGGGTCCAAGGACGGGAAGATTTCATTATGGGATATCTACTGAGATAAATGCTAATGCTACAAAACAACCATGCGACCATGCTTTTTTGAAGGAGTACGCAGAGCAAAAGATCAAGCCAAGTTGAACTCGTTGGCTCCAGACATATGCTCCCTCATCTTGGCTCTCATCTTGCGAGCAGCCTCATCCGTAACATTTGTGGAAGATGGAGCATCTTCGGCCTTTCTCTTGTTGCCTGCAACACCGTTTCGTGCTGCCTTGAAGTCCTTCTTGGTGTCTTCTTGTCCGGGTCGTAGACCAGGAACGTTGATTTTGCCCGGTCGATCACGGAGGGCGAAGCTCTTCGCAAGATGACCTAAGTGAAGTTCCTTAATGTTGAACATGCTCCGTTCAGCTGAGGTGTGGGTCGCGTAGGCTCGGACATGAGATTGGAACGCCCGTCGAGCCATTTCCAGGTAGTCTGGGTTATCAAGTGCCCAGCGCTCCACATCCATCTGCCAATCAGTGGTCCTCTCCTCCCAGTTCTTCTTTTTGTTGTCATTGCCGCCGAAGCCACGCTTAAGAATCTCGTTTGCATCAGTGCGGGTGAGCGCCTTGCCTCCATCGCGGTAGCCGCGCTTTAGGACTTCGACATAGTTCTCCTCGCAACCAGGCTGAAGGAAGACGAGGGCACGGCCGTCTCGTCCTACACGAGCAGTACGACCAATACGATGAGTGTGGTCATCAGAGCTGAAGGCGGGGTCGTATTCGACAACCAAGTCCACGTTGGGCAAATCGAGACCACGGGAAGCCACATCAGTACAGATCATAACGCAAGCCTCAGTACTGCGAGAGAAAGAGCCGAGGGTAGCGGTTCGAACATTCTGGGGAAGCGAGCCGTGCAGTCGATGCAAGAGGACCGGATTAGTCGGGGTCGAAAAGGCTCTACCGGGAGCAATGGTGCCATGAGCTGCCAGTTTTTTCTTTTCTTCGTCTTGTTCATCTTGTTCATCTTTTTCGTCTTTTTCGTCCTTTCCATCCTTTGCGTCCTTTTCTTCTTCATCGCTCTTCTTCTGTTGCTCGCGGTCTTGATTCCTTGAGAATAGCTCGAAATGGAAATCGACTACGTCGGCGCAAGACATGAAAACAATCGCCTTCATCACTGATCCCTTTCGCATGAATGTCCTCTTCAAGAAGGCTGTTAATGAGACCAGACGTAGCTTAGCTGGAACAATCGCATATGATTGCTTGAGCTGGGCGGGGACACGGAATGACTCTTCCTCGTCCTTGTTTGACTTCTCATCATCCTCCTCGGACGGGTCGGTCTTGATGTGTACCGCATCCTTCAAACTGATTTCTCCCAGCTTTTGGACATTCATCTTCAGTGTAGCAGAACATAGAATTGTCGTCCTGCGCGTAGGCACACCGGGAACGCGGCTCGGCCGTTGTCTAGCGTCAAGCTTCTTGACAATTCCTTGCAATTCTTCCTCGAAGCCCATGTCCATCAAGCGATCACCCTCGTCAAGCACGAGCCACCGCACATTGCTGACCTCCAGGGCTTCCGTGTTGTCGAGATGGTCTACCAATCGACCAGGTGTGGCGACAAGAATGTTTAAACCTTTTCTCAACCGTGCCTTCTCTGACTTTTTCTTCTCTCCACCAATCACTGTTCCACACACAATCCAGTTTGCGCAGCGCAGGATGTTCTCCAGCACGACGGAGATCTGCTTGCACAGTTCACGGGTGGGTGCCAAAATAATAGCGAACAATCCACTGTCTCGGTGGACTTGGGTATCGGTGTGTTCATTCTTCGCTTTTGAGAGATCCATAATCCGCTGCACCAGCGGCAAAAGATAAGCCAGAGTCTTTCCGGAACCAGTTTCGGCCTGGATGAAAGCATCGCTCTCCTCCTTGAGCAATTGTGTAATTGAGCTTGTCTGGATAGCTGTTGGCGCCTTGAGCTCTAGCTTTGTGAGCAGATGCGCCGCGAGATTGGGAGACAGGCCCAGATTTGTAAAGGTATCCAGTCCGTCGATCAGCGGCGCATTAGTTGGCTTCGAATCTTCCGCCTCTCTCTCCTCCTTGGGTCCTTCGGGGTTACGCGCTTCGGGGTTGCTACTAAAGAGCGAGGAAACGAAATGGCGGGGGTCTCGTGGATGTTGCTGTGGTCGCCGATCACCACCAGAGCGCGGGGCGCTAGGGCGATTGAACGAGTCTGTGTCTTCGGTCCTTTGTCTTTTCACGGGGCGTGTACCGAGTTGGATCTGGTTCGGGTTCTTAGATGCTGCATTGCGCGCTGCTGCATCTCCATTTCCAGGTTCTTTCTCGGATACTCGGTGGGCTGAGCGCTTCTTTGCGGTCAGTCGGTCTCGCCATGTTCCTCCTTTGAACTTGGCTTCAGGCTTGATGACACTGTCACCAATGCTAAAGTTCATAAGCATTCCATCGTCGGCCATTTTTAAAGATGGGGATCCCCGGTAAAAATGGAGGGGGGTTGTGAAAGTTTTTGTTCCGGCGATCCAAAAGCTTTCGAGACTTTTTTTCGGCGCCAAGACTTCCAGGCTCTCAGGCAAATTAATTTTCTCCGCCCTAAGCATTTGCCCTACTTTGTTTACATTTTGAACTACAAAGAGAAATGGAGAGATATATCTGAATGTTTTGAAGTCTATTTTGCTTTTGAGGAATGTATGTAAGTGGCTTGCTTGCACACTGTGCTATGCTAAAGTGTTAGATGTTTATTACTGACTGAGTGTTCGATATGGTATCACGGGCGAGGACCAAAAATGAGGTTGTCAATCAGTCGCACGGGGACCTTGCCATCGCCCAATCCACAGTCTTCGCCTGGCTTGGACTCTTCCAACGGTGCCATCTTGAATGCGGTACTCAAAACTGCGCCCTTGGCCGGGTCGACGACTTCCAGCTCGTCAAGAGTATCAGGATCGGCGAGGGAAATGTAGTCGACCTCGTAAAGTGCTCTCTCGCATGGAGAAAGGGATTCTTGTCCAGAAAGGACAGAATCCGTCACATTACGAGCAGCCCCAAGGATATCTGCCCGACTATTCTTGCCATTCAGGTATACTTCTTCGGCTGCTTTCAGCGCCTTGTAGATTGTGAGCCCGACGGTTCGTCTCCGGTCGCCTAGGTATACATTCCGCGAGCTCAGCGCCAGGCCGTCATGTTCACGCGTAGTCTCAATGATTCGCACTTCGGTGCCAACATGAAAATCCTCTACCATACGCTTGATGACCACGGTTTGTTGTACATCCTTCTGGCCAAAGTAGACACGGTCGGGGGTTGTGATGTTGAAGAGCTTCATGCAGACGGTCGCCACACCCCGGAAGAATACCGGACGAGAGCCACCCTCCAGTTTAGTGGACAACGGAGTAATTGTGACAAATGAGCCGTATCCATCAACCTCTGACGAAGGGGGTAGACCGGGGTACATGACCTTCGAAGTCGGTGCGAAAATGGCAGTGATGCGCCCGGCACTTGCGCTATTTTCTCCCAGCCGCTCGAGCTCCTCATTCAGCTTTTCCAATTTCTCAACATCAGTATCCCAGGTGCGGGGATAGCTGGATAAGTCTTCCGTGACTCCGAATTGTGTGGGATTGACGAAGATGCTGACGAAAATATCTGTATTCTCGCGAGCAGCTTGTCGAATTAGGGAGAGATGGCCCTCATGGAGCGCGCCCATAGTCGGAACGAAGCCTACACTCCGGTCCTTCTGCAACAATTGGCGCCGGAGTCCCCGGATTGAGGGAACATCGCGGAAGACTTGAAAGCTGGATGATTGGCGAACAGATTGCGAAGCCGCGGTCGCGTCGGCAAAGAGGGATGAAGCTGTCGCTGGGAGAAAGTGAGCTTATCTGGAGTTAGAATTTTCATAAAAGAGACATACTCGAAAACGACCTCGCTCCATTGACCAAGCGAGACATCTTGTGTGAGGAAAATGGGTGCAGACGTCAAGAGCTCAGCGTGGGATGAGAGCTACGGGCACATCTCAGGTCACGTGTGGCATACCTCGGGTCATTTCTGGGGAAATCCGAAAAACATCCGGGGGGCGATCGTCGCTTGGTTGCCGCTTGAGAGCTTGGGGGGGGTTTCAAGCTATGATTCGGTCCCGCACCTCCTCTCTTTTGAGCTTCCCATCCGCTTCCTCTTCTCCTTTTCTTCCATGGACCTGATCGTGAGCTGAGCAGAAGTATAGCAAATCTCGCCCTACCCCCTTCTAAGATGCCGTCTCCCAAGTCGGCTATTGCCGATGACCACTCTGCGCCAGATCTGGAGATCGTCAACTCAAACTTGACAATCCATCCGGCAGGCTTCACTGGAGGCCCAGAAACCCAAGATGGACAAATCACCGAACGCAACCTTGTTCACCATATGGCGCGATTTCGCGAGAACCCCTTCGACTTTCTCCGGGAAGTGAGCCTGTACATGTCCGGCACCGGCTGGCGTGCATATGACGAACCAATCGGCCAACCAATCTTCTATTCTGGCTTCTCTGAAGGGATGAAGACCTCTATATTGGGCAGCCTGCTCCTGCAAACCAAGATCACTGAATTGGCCAATGGTCGACTCATAGTCGAAGAGAAGGAAGGATTGCTGGCAATCAATGAAGGTATAACGCTGGACGACAAACGGGCCCGTCGCCGCACTGAGATTGAAGATAATCTTCGGGAAGTTGTGGATACAATGATGGAAAACATGATTTGCAAGATGGAGAGCAAAACATTTATTCGGGGTGCTTATTACATGTGCACACAGCTCTTGACTCGCGCTTACCATCAAGGTAAATTGCCTCTACTATACTTCTCTTATCACAAGTCAACGCTAAACGAGATTCACCCTAGGCATCCACGTATCTAGCGAAGAAGTCTTGCGTTTAAGATCTGTAGCCGAAACTGCGGCCAAGAAGAAGCAGTCGATTGTTTTCCTGCCATGTCACAAGTCCCATGTGGATTACGTCTCCCTGCAAATTATCTGTTACCGTCTCGGCATTTCTCTGCCGGTCATCGTCGCGGGTGACAATCTGAATATCCCGTTGCTAGGCACTTTCTTACAACATGCAGGTCGGTTGGAAGACAATCTCTCATTGGCTTTTACCTATGATTAACCTTATGCAGGCGCTATGTGGATTCGACGCAGCTTTGGAAATGATCCTTTGTACAATACTGTCGTCCAAGCTTATATCGATACCCTCCTTCAACAAGGCTTCAACTTCCAATGCTTCATTGAAGGCGGTCGCTCCAGAACTGGAAAACTGCTTTCACCTAAGTTTGGGATCTTGAGTTTCATTATGGACAGCATATTATCAGGTCGGGTTGAAGATCTCATCATTTGTCCCGTCAGCACCCAATACGACAAGGTCATTGAGACTGAGTATGACACCCAGCTGGCATTCTAACCCTTTTGATGAACATTGACATTAACCCATCATCTAGGTCATACATCAGCGAGCTTCTTGGCCAACCGAAGGCAAAGGAGAACCTGGCTGATTTCATTTCTTCCTCCTCTGTTTTATCTCTAAAGCTGGGTCGAGTTGATGTTCGTTTCCACGAGCCATGGAGTCTCCGAGACTTCATCGGCCAGCAACTTACGCGACTAGATCGCCCCAGCACCGACATCAATAACAAACTTAGCTATACTGATCGAGGCCGCATCCTGAGAACGTTCGGTTATCGGGTTCTGTCTGATATCAACGACGTGTCTGTGATGATGCCAACCGCCCTTGTGGGCACCGTGCTCTTGACCTTACGCGGCCGCGGAGTCGGAAAGGCCGAATTAGTACGCAGATTGGACTGGCTCTGCGAGCGGGTGCGAGCGAAAGGTGGCAGGGTCGCACATTTCTATCGCTCACCAACGGAGACGGTGGTTGACCGTGCGCTAGAAGTCCTTGGACCCAAACTAGTTAGTGTGATTTCAGGTCTAGTCGAGCCAACATACTATGCGGTGGATCGTTTCCAGCTTTCCTTTTACCGCAACATGCTCATTCACCTTTTCATCACTGAAGCGCTGGTTTCTGTGGCTATGTACACAAAGATCAAGCAAGGCGGCGGGCCCGCCAATCAAAGAATCACCTACGAGGATTTGAAGAAGCAGGTCTCATTCCTGTCGCAGCTTTTCCGCGGTGAATTCATTTTCCCGCCTGAGGGCTTGGCTCGCAATTTCGATAAAACCTTGCGTGGGCTAGAGAAGGATGATGTGGTCAAAATCACTCGTGATGAGTCCAGCACACCAATTTACGTTGAATTGAGCGAGTCAGAGAGACTATGTGGTCGCGAGAACTATGACTTTTACTGCTTCCTGATCTGGCCTTTCATCGAGACGTCTTGGCTTGGCTCAGTGTCCCTTCTTGGGCTGACGCCGCCTCTCGATGGTCCGAAGGAAGTTTGGATCGATTCAAAAAAAGCACAAGATAGTGCTCAGATTGTGAGTCCCCCCCCCCCAATGCTATATCGACTATTTCATTAATATTCATTAATATTCACAATCACAGCTTGGTAAAACCTTATATCACCAAGGTGATCTCTCCTACTTCGAGGCAGTCAACAAGGAGACCCTCAAAAACTCTTATCAACGATTCGAAGAAGAGGGTATTATCTTGGTTGCGAAGAACAAAGATTCGCGTGCCAGTCCATCCCTCAGGCTGGCTCCTGAATGGGCACCTCAGCGTGATGAGGGTACTGGGAAGGTTTTAGCCGGTGGCCGACTGTGGGACTTTGTTGAATTGATTGCACAATCCCGTCGCGAGGGGTGAGTCCATTTTATTTACCCTATCTCTGCCGATATACTAACCTTTCGCAGCAAAAACCGCCGGGACGGTGCAACTGTTTCCTCGCGCGTTCTTACTATGTCTGATCTTGTTGGGCGGAAGCTGTTCCAAAATGCCGCGGCTCCTGTGCCTGCCGACGTATCGTCACGGCAAATGCGCCGGAATGCAATTGGAGCCGAGGCAAAGCTCTAGCCATTCCATTTTGATACCCATGCAAAGTACATTGTACAGGCTGCTTTTACATCTACCTCTTTTACATCTACATCATCTAGCATACTGTCAGATTTATAGTTTTAATGCACATACTTTCGCAAACATATACTTATCGGATAGGGCGAATCTTCGGCCATAAGATGTCCGTCGCTTGAAAGAAAGGCATAACCTGTATGTGTAAGGATAACTTGTGTCATGTTTTCGTGTAATTTTAACGGCCGGTCCCCCAATGTTTGGCTCGTCTAAGTGGAGGGGCTATCCATGCCATCAATCCGTCTTATGTCATGAAGAAAAGCCTGCACATATACCGCAGCGATGCCGAGTAAAGCTTCCATACTTATGAACATCGTTGAGATGAGGATTTCATACTGATCAGATTCATCTCAACCATAGTCCTCATATGGAGAGCACATCAAATTTCAACGTATGGTTCACAGTAGAACCGGAATTCGTCAAATATATATATCAACCTTTCTTCTACTTATTATGTCCTTCCCTTTCTTTTCAATCCTATATTCCCTTATTATATATGTATGTGATCCAATTTGCTTATATATCTTTCTTTCTTCATTTACCTATCAATAGTTTGATAAGAAAGCTAGAGCTTCGCTCCTAGATACACAAAACTCTATTCCTCGCACACGAGTTTTGTACGATCCTATTATTATGGGGTCTAAAATATCGAGTGAAGTGAGAACTCCTTTACACAGAATTCTGTTCGTTCCTATATTCTAAACTTTGGATTTTGTTACATTTGTTGAACTCCCAACTCTAGTTACATGTAGTGACTATAGGTATATTCCGCACCTGGTATATTCAACGCTCCAAACAAAACTACTGTCCGGACAGAAAGCCTTCAATCTACGATACACAAAACAATTTGTGACAATGTCAAAGATTCTCCTCATATCACAATGTGGTCAACTTGAGAATACGGAGTATCAGACGGTGAGAGATATGAGAAAGCGTCTCATCGGTTGCCATAAAGATGAATAATTGTATGTCTGATAGCGGGAAAAAATCACGCATAGCATTTGATAACTAGTTTTCTATTCAATACACTCGGGGTAGACCATTCTCCGCCCCAAATTCCCCCACACCTAGCGTTGGTGCCATTCGATCACCCCAAAAGAACTAGGTAATAGCCATATCACTTAGAACTTTGGATAGGCCAACGCACCTAGCTTTAGATCCATCTTGCGAGCGAAGACTGTAGATAGAGTCTAAAACTGTCTGGCAAGGGTCACAAAGTCGCATTTTGCTTAGATGGCAACAACGTCAACCCAGAAGCGAGTATCGTCGTACTTGTAGTCGTTGTTGCTGTCGATCTGCTTCTGAATCCACTGGACAGCCGACTTGTAGTCTGCGAAGAGGTTAACGTCAGTTTCACAATTGTAGCCATATCTTGGAAAACATACTCTGAATGTCCTGGGTGTAAGGGTTGTTAAGACCGCTAGCACCGTTGCGGTGGCCAGCAAACCACTTGTCATAGCCGTAGTAGTTCTGGCAGTCCCAGCGGGAGGCGACATCCGCATACACATTGGAGCTTTCGGAAGGTTAGCCATCATTCGAAACATGTCATCTAGGGTTTCCTTACTTGAGAATCGCTCCATCGTTCCACTGCGACTCGGACTTGCCGACGAAGCCGTAGCGCGAGGCGCAGACGCGGAGCTGGCCCCAGTTCTGCTTGAACAGACCAAAGTTGGCGGCGTCGTAGGTCTTGGCGTCGCCATAGGGGTAGTGGCCAGTATTCATATCCTCACTGTGGTTGACCGTCAGTACTATAAAGTGGTATCTCATGATGGGAATCTTACATCTCGAGCATAGCAATGGCAAGATCGAGGGTGTTGCCACCAGCATCGAGAATTGCCTTCTTGTGCCATCCAAGGCCCGAGACGGTGTAGTGACCACGATTGTCCCGCTTTTCGAGGACATCATCGGAGACTGAGGTGGCCAGCGCAGTAGCTGCGAAGAGGGCAGCAACACATGAAAGAGAGAACTTCATCTTGAACTGGGAGATGACAAGGTAGACTAGAGAAGTATAGAATATGAGTTGGAATGCTTAGGGCTCGCTTGAATGGAATAATAGCCAAGAATGAGGTCAGGTCGGGAGGCTTTATACTCGCGAAGCTCGATATACTTAGATGAGCCAGAGCATATTTTTAATCTATGAAAGTGAGACCTTTTTTTGATTGTCCAATTTCCAAGTTCTTGATGCTCGTCTCTCCATTGAGGCGTTTCCTCGGCGTTTAGGCGTTTCTTCGGGAGTGTAGGCTACTCCGTAGACCGAATGTGTCCTTGATTATAGAGCAATCGGACCATTTCTCTGCTTATCCGTGACCGAATTGATATCTGTAGCTTATTGTGGCTTTCTTGCCTAATCTAATTACCGTAGTCTTCTGATTGCCGAATCTAAAATATCTCTAATTGAGACAGTACCCTGCATCCGACCAGCTCCGATAAATTAAAGATAAAAAGTTGTCTGATTCTAGAATTTGAATTGGAAACAGCTGGTGGAGTCTACGGAGTTGTGTGTGTTTGACCACACGAGGATGTCTCAAACCCTATATCCACCCCATCCAAAAATTTCAAGGGGCCAAGATCAGTAATATTGTTCTCTACTGTGTGAAAAGATATTCCAAATAATTGATATCTTCAGAAAGATGCACCCCGCATGCCGCAACGCCATGAGCGGTAATCCGGGGGATTTGTCGCCGTACGGAGGGTCCGCATTTGCGCCTTTTCATCCTTTTCATGTGTCAACAGGGGTCCATGTGAAGAATCCAGGCACCAACGAATTAAAGAATTGGCCTGCGGGGTCTCGAACTATGATTTTCAGGTTTGCGACTTTGTTTAAGCTTTGGATTCATTTCGATGTACGCCCCGTTAGACGGAAATTACCCGATTGGGCACGGGTGTGTGTTGGAAATCTCAGGAGCTCCGCCTTGATAGACCCAAGTAGGGTTAAGCCCACCTCAACCCTTTAAATTAATTTCCTTCAAGGACTAACACTAGCTAGTACCAATTCATCTGCAGTGGAGTGCGTTTGTAGAGAGCCATGTCAGCCGATAGGTGCAAACTCCGATAATCCCGGGGATATTGTCGATCTTTGTGTGCCACTAGAGACTCCGTATTCTTTTTGAGTTGTCACAGGTTGCGGTGGTTCTTGACTAGGGTTTCAAGGGGATTCTATGTACTCAGGATAGAGCCTGTCATAAGGACATATAAAGTAGCTCGTAATACCTTCAATTCAAATCACATCTAGGTCAACAAAATTCTACACAGCTTTCCTACTCATAGTCACTCTTTTATCGCACAGGATGCGTTACTTTTCTTCCGTTGCTCTTCTATCCGCGGTAGGAGCAGCATCCGCGCAACTTGGTCCTTGGGACCGATGCGGAGGTATCTCCTACACCGGATCTACGACCTGTGAGTCCGGGTGGTCTTGCGTCTATCTGAACGACTGGTTCAGTCACTGCGAGCCAAGTAAGATACGCAAAATCACTTTTTATTCGTTGACTTGAATCTAATTTCGCATAGGCACTTCGACTAGCTCGGAGTCAGTCTCGGCGCCAGTGACAACTTTCTCGACTGTTGCTTCTGTGACCAGACAGCCCTCATCGACAGTGGCTCCAACTTCGTCCCCAGCTTTGTCTACCTCCCTAGGCAATTCTCTGACCACTGTCAGCAGCTCTTTTGCCAAGGTGGATGGTCTCAAGTTCAACATTGACGGCGAGACCAAGTACTTCGCTGGCACGAACTCGTACTGGCTGCCATTCCAGACCAACGATGCAGACGTTGACTCCGTCTTCAAAAATCTGAAGGAATCCGGTCTGAAGATTCTCCGAGTTTGGGGTTTCAACGATGTCAACACCGTCCCGGCAGCTGGCACTGTCTACTTCCAGCTCCACGACAAGGCTACCGGTACTGCTACCATCAACACTGGTGCTGATGGTTTGCAGCGCCTTGATTATGTTGTCTCCGCTGCCGAGAAGTACGGCATCAAGCTTATTATTCCCTTTGTGAATTCATGGAACGATTATGGTGGCTTCAATGCCTACGTCACTGCCTATGGAGGCAATAAGACGGAATGGTACACCAATGAGAAGATCCAGAGCGTGTACCAGGCGTACATCAAGGCTGTTGTCTCTCGCTACAAGAATTCCACTGCCATCTTTGCGTGGGAGCTGGCTAATGAGCCTCGCTGCTCCGGCTGCGAAACCGGCATCATGGCAAACTGGGTAGCCAAGACTTCTTCCTATATCAAGTCCCTCGATTCTAACCACATGGTTACCACCGGTGAAGGTTTGTGCACTTGCGATCACCCAAATTGTTGATATATTCTGACCAGTGATATAGAGGGCATGGGCCTAACTGTCGGATCGGATGGCTCTTACCCTTACAGTACCTCCGAAGGCGGCGACTTTGCCAAGAACCTTGCCGCCCCTAATATTGACTTTGGAGTGTTCCATCTCTACGTGGCCGACTGTAAGAATAATCCCTGGGCATCCCAAACACGCAGCACACTAACCTATATTAGGGGGTATCACCGATAACTCTTGGGGCAATGGATGGATCGAGGCCCATGCCAAGATCTGCGACGCTGCTGGCAAGCCTTGCTTGTTCGAGGAATATGGCATCAAGAATGACCACTGCTCCGACTCACTGAAATGGCAGAAGACCGCCTTGACTACCACCGGCAACGCTGCTGATCTCTTCTGGCAGTATGGCGAGCAGCTGTCCTCTGGCCCCTCTCCAAATGACGACTACACCATCTACTATGGCACTGACGATTGGAAGTGCGCTGTCGCCGACCATGTCAGTCAGATTTAAGAGTGAAGATGTCTGGAGACTGTGATTGGGGATCGACACACGGGTATCATCTGGACTCTTCAATTTCTGGTTTCGTTCATTGTCAAATAGCTTCATTCAACACATATAGGGGGTACATGCCGCTGGCGATGCATTGCTCGCCTGTGTGATATAGCTTACCAGAATCGAACACGTAAACACCACAAAAGAGACTGGGTGAATACCATATTTTGAGAAGGTTAGAGATATCAATAAGGCTAGCATTATCGATTTAGGTTACCCGTATTTGCATAATTTATCTGAGGTTTAGTCGCATCAGTTGGTTTACGTTGATAAATCTGGATGTGATAAAAGAGTTAGGTTTAGGCGGATATGCTGGTCTCTACTCGGTGTGTCCCCTATGCAAGTATCCTATTTACCGCGACCAACGATATCAGATACTGTCTACTTATGCTTAGGACAGAATCGTTTTCTCGCTTGTCTTCCGCAGATCCACGGATGTCACCTCGAGGACTTCATAGCGCAGATTCACCGGCACTACGGAAGTGACGTGGCTGGTGCAAAAGAAGAGAGTGCTAGAGGTCACCTTCGACACGTAGACTTAAATATTGAAAAAGTCTTAGTCTGCTTCCGCCCTGAACTTGAGCCCCACTACCAGCACAGTAGTGGCTATTTTCCCTTACTCTGTAATTCTCTTGAGCTCATTTGTCTGTTCAGGTTGTACCCCAGACCATCCATTAGAGAGGTGAATATGACATTCTAAAAGGCTGAATGTAATAGGATGAGCTGAGAGTTGAGTGGGAGGAACGGTTGACTCGATTGGATAGTTTATCTAAGCTTTTACATACCAGAGAACTTCGCTCTCACCCTTCTCCATTTTCTTTCTAGTGTTGTTGGTCTGTATGTGATGGTATCTTGTCCCTTGGGTATCTCGCATGGGTGACGCTGTAAGGAGCTTATCCTGTTGCGTATGTTGGTATGACTTTCGCTATTAAGCCCCCAAACAGCCTCCGCACCATTCAGAGCCCGCTGATAATACAACAGAGATTTTTCAACATTTCCTTGCTCCTCCCATAGAATGCCGTAATTCTCAAGCGTGTGCAATGCAGGGATGAAGGTCGACATTTGGGTTGCACCTAGAGCCTTCTCGTAGCCTTCTAGTGCTCGTTCGTACATAGCCTCTGCTTCCTGAAGCCGGCCTTGATTGGCGTAGAGGAGTCCGAGGTTATTAACGGTGTCTAGCGTTGAGGTATGATCTCGTCCCCACGCCTTCTCCTTGCCTTCTAGTGCTCGTTCGTACATGGCCTCTGCTTCCTGGAGCCGGCCTTGATTGGTGTAGAGGTTACCGAGGTTATTGACGGTATTCAGCGTTGAGGTAGGATCTCGTCCCCATGCCTTCTCCTTGCCTTCTAGTGCTCGTTCGTACATAGCCTCTGCTTCCTGGAGCCGGCCTTGGTCAGCGTAGAGCAAGCTAAAGGAATGCTGAATCCCCGCAATTTTATCCTCAACTTTCATATCTCCCATTGCCTCCACACATCTATCTATATGTGCAATGAGCCGCCGCTCTATGAGCCAGAATTCGTGCTGGCTTTTCTCTGGCACCCGCGCTGCCACACATTTTATTGCTGTCTAGGCTATCTCCTTATCAAACACCTGATTCAATATATAAATCATCCACGAATGGACGCACCCGTGCACGTTATACCCTCGTGACTCCATACGCTGCAATGCGGTGGATGAATCGGCTTCTGCAAGCCCATGACTACACAAAAGTCTTAAGGTTGTATGGAATGTGAGCTTATCCTTCGTGAGCTCTTTTAGCCATTCTGGCTGTTCTGATCCGGTATTTTCTAGCAGCTCAAACTATAGGTCTTCGTTGGCGAAGTAGGCCTATTGTTGGAGAAGCATAGCTGCAATTGAACTCTGTTGCTGAATGTATAGGAACGAGATATTCTAAGTTGAGTATAAAGTTTGATTATATACCGGTAGCTGCGGCGTATTTTTGTGTAATTGCCGCTATGATTCACGGTACAGCTGGAGATACTCGGTATAGGTTATCGAAACTTACTCTAAGTATGTACCCGCAGTCGTAAGGGCCAGAGGAAGTCTATCAAGCTCTCTTGCAAGATTATTCGCTGCCGGGTCTGTCTCGATTAGCAATTTGCATCAAACAATATCTACTAAATCTTACCTTGCTTTAAACTACCTTGACTAGAAACGGATGCTAGGATCTTAAGACTGTCGTTGATATCTATTAGCTTGCTTAGGTGAATAGTCGGACCTAGCTTTACTATAGATGACCGGGTGGTTACAATAATGGTAACGTGGTCGGTCTCGGGCAGAAAGGTATAAAGATCAAACGCCCTCGCAAGATGTCCGCCTTTATCGCTATATAGACTTGGCTCGATATAGGATGTATGACTTAGGCCTTTCTCTTTATGATTGACTAATAAGGGATTGTCATAATTGTTATAGACCAGCAACCAGCGATTATTTATCGGCTTATCTAACCACTGTTTGACGGCTCTCACTATCTTGTCTAGGTCCCGGCTTTGCAGGGCACCTTTAATGTATGCGATAGACGAGTGATAGCGTAGAATCCACTTAGCTACTCGGGAAAAGCTTTGTTTTAGCGCTGTTTCGTCTCTTGTGTTCATCTATAGTACCGCCGAGTATTCAGAACGATGTCCTTTGATATATGTAATGGCTAGCTGCGTCTTGCTAATGCTACCTAACCTATGTAAGACAGTAGTGCGACGTCTAGCATTTTTTATGAGGATCTCTTGAATTTTTCTGAGCTTATCCTCTCTTGCAATAAAGTGCCCTACTTCGGATATGTTAGATCGATTAAGCGGTAGCTCGAAAGTAACGTATTTCACATGCCAGTGGCCCACACAAGCGAGTGGCCCACCCTAAAACACCATAGTAA